TGCACTTAGCATTTTTGTTACAAAGGTTAAAAAGTACAAATAGTAATTTGGTATGCCCAAAAGAAAAAAATAAATAAATCAATAAAAATTAATCGGCTTACCAGGCAAAAAAATGGAAAAGAAGAGCAACTTCTTCTCAAGAGAGATAATTCAAGTTAAAAAATAAATCATAAAGACTAGCAAAAGAAAATATAAAACTTCATACACACACAGACACATCTATGTATAATATATCAACATTATTCTATGAACATGAGAGAGAGAAAGAAATTGTTATAAGATCACTTGAGGCATGAAAGTCAGTCTATATCTATAAAAGCTTTCTCTCTGATATTGTACACTTCTACAAATATAGCAAATTTTAACTACATCTTTATTTACATATGATATGCAGAGCGAAATACAAAATTATAAGAACCTATCTTGAAACTCCCGTTTTTTAGGTTTTTTTAATCATTTCATCCCCAAGCAAGGCAGAAATGCCACTAGTATACAGGAGGTTATAGAGAATGAAAATGAGAGAAAAGACTGAGTATAGGGACGACTGGGGAAAGGACAAAAGATAAATGGGATTCTAGAAAATAGAAGATGGTGATTGATGTGGCATTTAAATTTTTGAAGATTGTATGTATCAGGGAAGCACGTAAATGGAAAAGAGTTCCACAGGCGAGAAGTGCGAGAAAAGAAACTGTTGGAGTAGAAGTGGCAGTTGCATTTAGCTATTCCAACATTAAAAAGGTGGGATTTAGATGCCAGTCTAGTAGCACACTTAAATTCATGTAGTTAGGGCACCAGGTTAAAAGCTAATCAGAGTAGTTGCCATAAAAATAGTTGCAGAAAAGACTGGGGGAAAGCATGTTGCATCGGTGAGAAAGTGACTGAAGTCAAGATGCCAAGTCAGTATCGATTAGATTATATATCTTTCTTTGGTTTTTGTCAAAATGCACAAGATGAATAGCAGGAGCACCAGACAAGATACAGCAACAGTATTCAATACACGGGAAAATCTTCAAAATTTTTGTTTGAATGTAAATTACTTCGAGGATTGAGTCTTGAAAAAGTTTTATCTTTCCCCATTTAACCCCATGTCACTTTTCCATGCAAAGAAGATGACAAGCAATGCAGACAGATTCAGGTCTTTGGAAAAAATATTAAAATAAAATGACGATTTTCTTCAATTCTATTTAATGAGTCACAAAAATTAATTTTTCCAAGACAAATCTGAGAAAATTTAAGTTTTAGAAATGTGGCACTGATTAAAAAAATAATCTTCATTTTACAAAATTTGTAGACGAAACAGTCATTGATTTTTAAACTCTTTATCAATTGAAGATAGCGGAGTTGCTTCCCTTTAATTTGATAAATAAAAATAAAATTTAGCACACAACTATTTTTTCTCTTAACAAATGCTAACGCAAAGGAAGCTTTATATAAATATTAAGTGAATTATATGGAAACACCAGCTACATAACATATAACAATAGTCTACTTAAATAAACAACCCTAGAAAATACGAGGAGAACTTTTCTATCTTTTATTCGTAATTATTTATCATTGTGTGGATTATTTCCCTTGTTACATTACGAATTTACTAAAGTCCTCAAGGAACTTTGAGAGTCACGTGACGATAGCCTGGGTTGACTACAGTCATTGGCAAATTAGGCAAATATAGCGACTGAGAGAAACTCAAGCGTGTTAAATAAGAACATATTTTTCTCGGCAGGATAGAGTCACAAGTAGAAACATTACTTACATTATGGTAGGTGATGGAGGTTATCTTATGACAATGTCCATTCACACCAAAGGTCTGACCATGTGTAAGAGTTATAAATACACAGCATTTTATATATATCAAGAGAGAGAAAGGTTCAATAGTTCAAATTTAGATGTCCTGCTGTATATAAAGAGTGAGTCTTGGAGAATGTATGTATGTATGTATGTATGTATGTATTCAAATGCAGCAGCAACCTGCTTAAAAATGTGGGCAAAAATACCGTGTATGTTTCAGTGTCAATGTAAAATTGTGTGGATGTCTAAGATCACAAGAGAATGGTAGGAGGCGGTTGGTAGTGTACAAGTCTATGTGTAACTGCATGGGTAACACATGATGAATGCAGAATGGATAAAATTAATTCATAGATTCTGATTTAGGTCAGTTTTCCATTTTATAATACACTCATTTAGAGAACCACTCCAGAAGTATTGCATTGCTTCTTATTGGCTCATAATTAGTGACCTTATATTCTGGTTGGATTGGCTCTTGTTTATGATTTACTTGCTTGACTATGATGCTTCTATCCTGGTTAGAAAAATTTCTGATTGTTTGGTCGAAATATGACTTCATGACCAATTCTGAATACACATCTATTCTTAGTGATGGTGAAATTTTGATCTCCTTGTTATTATTTGTTTATTTTATTTATTTTTCTATCACTACAACATTTCAAGTAAGACCTTTATAGATATCATTTCATGTAATGTTTGCTTTTTTTTTCATGTATTCTAATTTCTGTGTATGTGACAAATAACGATAAATATAGATATATTGTATGATGTATTTGTATATAAAATGTTTTCAAGCCCAATTCATTTTTGGAATTTCTTTCCTTCCCTCATATTATGGTGTTAGTATATAACAGATATACTAATGCCTAATGTGGGCCTTGGAGTGTAGAGAAAACCAAGATATTACTTCTCTCTTTCTAATCAACTGCATAAATGGATTTAATATTACTGTAATAGAATAGAAAAAAAATCTGTATATCATCTATTAACAACCAAAAGCAGAAAAATATTTTTCATGTGCTTATAAGCTCTAATGTTAATAAGTATCTAATATGATATGTTATGAAATATTTTCCAAAAGAGGCTTATCTGATAAAATTGTTGGATCATTTAAAAAGTATAGATACAAATGTCTACATAAGATTTTTTTTAAAAATGTCAAGTACTGAAACCTTAGATTATTTTAAAATAATAGAAATAAATGCCATGATCAGAGTGATTGAAAGAAATAAAATTTAATCAAAAGAAAAATGACCTGAAGAGACAAAACTGGATGCAAAATATTCATTTATTAAAATAAAAAACTTTTCAGTAGTTTTCTCAATAAATGAAAATAAATACAAAGGGAAGTAACTCTTTAAAACGAAAAGGGAGATAAGTATAAGCAATAAGTAAGTAGCAAGAAAGTCAATTGGAAAGGCTTCTTTCATTTCTCAATTCTACTGCCCAAATTAGTCTTATACTCCTCAAATTGATGAACCCCAAAATGTTATGGTTGCTTTGAAAAAAAGAACTGACAAACATTATCATACATTAATAAAACTAACAAATATAAATCATTAACAATTCTGCAAATAACTTTAAAAATATGCAATTGTAACTTTCTAAATAGATTAAAAGAAAAAAGCAATGGGAATCTTTAGCTAATTTTGCAATTGCATTGATCTATATATTCTTCTGGAAAAATCAAGCAGTTTTATTGAGAAAAAAAAAACTTACATTTAAGAAATCTATTAATCCCTTTAAACCATGATAAATAAAAATATCCCAAGAAAACTTAAAAAAAAAATTTAAATGTATATTAGAAAAGAGACGCAAGTTCACATATTGAGGCCAAGTAATGCCTTCTAAGACTATAACTACAAAATAAGAGATCTGATTGCATAACCAATACATACGTATATATATATATATATATATATATATCTGCGTGTGCGATGAATTAGAATCAAATATGGATTTGAATTCAACAAAATGATAGTATAAGGTAAGGAACAAATAAATTTAACATGTTTAAAATTCTTGTAAATGTAAAATATGTGTTTCTGAAACATGATTTGAGGAAAATTAGCAAATTTAAAGTTAAATTAACGCAATTTGAAGCAAATATTACCACAGGCCTTGTTTTTCTGATGTTTTGATTGATTTTTTGACAGCCTAACACGTTGACAAATTAAGTATGGTAACACAGAATTGATGATAGCAAATGATAAATTTTGTGGGTTTTTTCCTTAAGGCTGGACAACCCTTAAAACACATGACCTTTTAATGATAATGTCATGTACGAACTCACAACCTTAGAAAAATTAGGTCTTTTAAACACAAAAAAAAAATTGAATTCTATCTAAAAATATCTGGGGTTGTCAGATTGTAATAATCTTTACAATATATGATTAGTAAAATAGTTTTACATAACACTTTCTAACAGTTACACTGTTGAAACTGAATTTTTAAAGATTTAAAAATTTCATAAATTATTTAATTTAAAATTGTAAAAAAATGAAAACAAATCTTGTAAAAATTCATTTTGAAATTTTTTTTTTCTTCAGATACAATTTTCTTAAATCTATATTATTCAAAAAAGCAGTTAAATGTTTCTCTAATTAAATAGTGTCTTAGTTTTATTGCATTTTTATTTTTTGATTCAGAACAGATTTTTGGTAAGACAGTTCGAGTTTGCAAAAACAATTTGGTGATTCAAATTTTTCAAAAAATTCTCCTTTTAATTAATATAGTCACTAAAAATTATCATGCTGAATTTCTCAAGTTTTCATAAAATTCAGTGAGAAGGAGAAACAAATAAAAAAAAGATTTTTTTCCAAGATTTTTGAATAAAAAAATTTCAAAAATAATTTAATTCATTTGTGAATAAGTCTTGAAAATTTCATTAAAATCCAACAATTATTTGATTTTTACAAGAATTTCCAAATTAATGTGTGTCACTGCAAAAACTACTAAAATTTGCTATGCCACTGACACAAGAAAAACAAATTTTTTCTTATCAAAATTTCAAATGTTCTTAAAGATAAAAAAAAAAAAGAGTAAAAAATAAAATACAGTAATTTTGTTATTCTCATCACAAAAATATTTCTATCATTTCTTGACACCACAGGTAAATTAGTTATGACTATGAGGACATGAAACATTTACTTATTTTTACCTCTTTATCAATAAATGTGAGTTTATTATAGAGTCTTCAACTAAGTATAGAATATTTACGTGTTTAATAATATCATTTGAAAAGGAAACAAAAGACAAAGAAAAGGAGAGAAAAGGAAAAGAGTAAAGAGAAGAAAGAGAAGAAAGAAAGAGAAGAAAGAGAAGAAAGAAAGAGAAGAAAGAAAAGAAAGAAAGAGAAGAAAGAAAAGAAAGAAAGAGAGAAGAGAAAGAGAGAAAAGAAAGAGAGGAGAAAAGAAAGAAAGAGAGAAGAGAAAGAGAGGAGAAGAGAAAGAGAGGAGAGAGAAAGAGAGGAGAAGAGAAGAGGAGAAGAGAAAGAGAGGAGAAGAGAAAGAGAGGAGAAGAGAAAGAGAGGAGAAGAGAAAGAGAGGAGAAGAGAAAGAGAGGAGAAGAGAAAGAGAGGAGAAGAGAAAGAGAGGAGAAGAGAAAGAGAGGAGAAAAGAAAGAGAGGAGAAAAGAAAGAGAGGAGAAAAGAAAGAGGAGAAAAAGAAAGAGGAGAAAAGAAAGAGAGGAGAAAAGAAAGAGAGGAGAAAAGAAAGAGAGGAGAAAAGAAAGAGAGGAGAAAAGAAAGAGAGGAGAAAAGAAAGAGAGGAGAAAAGAAAGAGAGGAGAAAAGAAAAGAGAGGAGAAAAGAAAAGAGAGGAGAAAAGAAAAGAGAGGAGAAAAGAAAAGAGAGGAGAAAAGAAAAATACTTACCCTCTCCTGAGAGAGCATGTCTTCCAACTTGTTGATCTCAGCTTCATGATCTTGAGTCATCTGCTGGACAAGTTCTCGATGAGAATCACATTCCTTCTGATACTTGATTGCCAAGTCATCAAGTAAGCATTTACGCTTTTCAGCAACCTTGAAAAAGAAAAAATTTAAATAAGACAATATACATTACTTAATAATGCTCTAAATTTTATTTCCTGTTTGGAGTTGGAAAATACTTTTGTTAATCACTCAAAACTGCAATAAAGATCAAAAGATTAAAAAAAAAATCAGTTTAATTCTATGAATGGCTGTTGGAAAGTTCTTGGTTCAACCAAGAAGCTCTTCAAAAAAGAAAATAATCTAATAATTGGTTAAATTTTGGGTGATAGTCAAAGAACTTTTAGGCCCTTCCTTATATTGTAATCTTGAAATCCCATAAACTTTGTATAAGTTCTAAAATTTTCTTTTTTACAGTTTTAAAAATAGATTTACTTTTAATTATATTTAATCACAAATTTACTTAAAAAAAAAAAAAAAAAAAAAAAAACTAAATAAATAAATTAAAATCTGCTACATGAGAAGCATTACAGTGACAGATTGAGGGCAACTTTCTCAACATTAATAATATTTTGACCCCTTAAAACCTCTATTCTTAAATGTATGTACAAAAAGACAACCAACCAAATTGGCTTGTTTTACTTTTCTCATTTGGGCTTTTTTTCTATGGAAATTATAATTTTCAGAAATTCAAAATTTACAGAATCTGGCCTTTCAGGATTTCATAGTTTTCAGAATTCTTTCATGCAGAAATATGATCAGTAATATTTAGGGAAAAAAAACATTGCTTAGAATTTATTAAATTTGTAATGAAATGAATTTGTGATAAAATCAAGACTCAAGTACTAGGTGTCAGTAGAGGTGATGAATAATATCCAACCAAAAGTGAAGAAAGTTTGTTCAGACAATTGCATTTCACCTCTTTATAGCAAGCATCTTCAAGTTGGGATGAGAGACAAGCCCTGTGTGTAAGGACAATGCTACAACCAGAGAGTTTTTTTTTGTCTTTTTTTCTGTATTGAATCAATTCAAATTAGCTCACTCTAAATAACACAATATGGTATGCAAACTAATAGAGATAAAAATAAGAGATCTACATGGTGTGGGCTAATTTCAAATCTAGTAGACATTAATAGCTTCAATACAGATTAAAAAAAAAAAAAAAAAAAAAAGAGACAAAAAATTAACTTTCTAGCTGTAGTATCTTATATAAGGTTATTTATTACTCCTTTCTTAAAATTCCAATGCACTTCCCTTACACACAGGCTTGGATCTCACTTCAACTTGAACACACCTGCCATAAAAAGGCAAAAGTATTGTCTGAACAAGTTTTTTCACTTTCTCTCAGTCAAAATATTAAAAACATTTAGGATGCAACATCACCAATTAACATTTTGTCTGGAAAACATTAAACTGGTAAACATTGAATTTTTCAGTATCTGTCTATATTTCTGAGATTATTTTGGCATTATGTACACTATTTCTTTTGCTTCTCTTGCTTTTTGATGTAACCTGTGAGTTTTAGATTCTCCAAGCCTTGAGGACACATGGCACAGTGGATAAAGGTGTTAGTTAAATCCAGTGAGAGGACCTAAAGAGTGTGAGTTCAAAATCCGCTTACAGCAGTGGAGAACTTGGAGAGGGGAATTAACAGGAGATAACTGACATCCATTAAACATGGCACACGGAACTAGGACAGTCTACTCCAGTGAGCGAAATAAAGGGTTCAGTTCGACATTCCAACCACCTGAAGACCAGAGTGTACAATGGCTGAAACATTGTAAAAAATATGGCAACAAAGATGAGGACAATAGTCCAAATAATGTAAATAGTATTGCATTTTTCCCCACTAAATTAAAGACGACACGAATGGCACTTAGTCCGAAGATCACATTCAAGAGTGAAACTGCAATCATCATGTTTGCCAAGGTTATAAACAACATTCAACTGTCCTTTTTATCTTTATAGCCCTCGGAACAAAATTACTGATTTCAAATTGAATCTTAAGTGGAGGTTAGAAAACGGTTCTAACGTCAAACTGAAAACAAAAGCTTTCAGAAATAAACCATACAAAGGTGACTGATTTCAGCAGCCATTACCCTGAAAAACACCAAAAATACATAATTATCACTAATTAAATACTGCGACTTCAAGAGTTGAAAGTAAAAAAAAAAGTGTCATGTCTCAGGTGGCAAATTTTCATTTCTAATCAATAAATTCTAGAGATAATATAACTGTTTGTTTACAGACACAAATATATCCTCATTTAACAAAAGAAAACCCGTGAGACAGAGGCAGGTGTCTAGGATTCAACATTTTCTAAGACTGCCAGTTCATTAAATACATTACAAATCTTTTTTTTTTCTTTTTTCTTCCCCCACCTTCAAAAGATAAAAAAACATTTTAATCTATTTAACATGAGATTTAATTTACATTCTTAACGCAAGAAATTAGGAACTTGGAAAATGAAATTCTGGCGAACAATCTTGACCAAAAAAATAAAATAAAATAAAAAATAGGATAAAAAGATTGCCATCCAGAATACACAAAGAAACCCAAGCAGCTAAACAAATTATTATTTTAGAAAAAGAAAAAGAAAAAATATAATAAAAACAAAAGATTCAAAATAGAAGACAAAACTATTGTATGAGGAATGACATTTTTCAGAAGGAAATGGAGGAAACAGTAACCGAGGAAGAGGTGGGGTAAGAGTAAACGAGGAGGAGGAGGTGGGGTAAGTGTAAAGGAGGAGTAGTAAACAATGAGGATGAGGAGTAAGTGCAAGGGAGGAGGAAGTGAGTAAAAAATGAGGATGAAAGTGCAAGGGAGGAGGAAGTGAGTAAAAAATGAGGATGAGGTGGAATAAGAGAGGAGGAAGAGTAAACAAAAGGAGGAAAGGAAAATGGATGGAAAGTAAATAATTTTCAAACGGTTATGGTGATCTCATCTTTTTACATTTTTTATTTACATTTACTAAATTATTAAAATCTGAACAAGCTAAAAAAAAAAAAAAATATTGATGAAATGGAAAATTTTGTCCAAGTTGAAAACTGCTTCATTTCAATTTTTGTTATTTTAACATGGGAAACCATGAGTAAATGAAATCTCAAGAAAGTTTTTCACCTGATTAAATTACATTCACTAAAAAGATAAAACTTAAACAAAAGCAGGTAATTTGTTAAGAAGTGAAACCTGCACAATAAATTATGCACTTTACTTCATGATGCACATTGACCATTGACAACGCTCTGTCAGTAAACAAGGCTTTGAGTAACCTGCACACAATCCCTTTACAAATACAGATTTCTTCACATTTTGGCATCTGTGTCTATGTAAAATTTATTCCTGTAGCTTCCTCCTCTTCCTCTATAAGTCCCTGGTCAATGCTCCTACCTTCCCCTTTCTCCTGTAGGCTCCATGTCAATGAATACATCTTTATGTGCTGTGATCATGGTTCTCCACAACTTCCTATCCCTTATAGCACTTAATATACTTTGTCTGTTATCCCTCCTAAACCTTGTCCCCCCATCCATTTACTCAAGTATCTAATGTATTGTTTCCCTCTGTCTTGAGAGTATCAGATTTTCCAAGCCTTCCTTCCTTATTATGTGCCACAGAAACCTCAACTGTTTCTTCCTGATCAGTATAAGTTTCCTTTTTGTTTCTGTTCTAACACTTCAGCATTGCTCACAAGTTCGGTCCATGGCATCCTCAGCATCCTTCTGTAGAACCACATTTCTGTTGCTTCAAGTCTCTTCTCCATCTTTGATGAGACTATCCAGCACTCACTGCCATACAGGAGGACAGATATCATATAGCAGTTTAGTACTCTTTTCCTTGTTTCTAGCAAAATTTTCCTATTTCTTAATACTCTGCTTAGCTTTTGGAATGCTTCTTTGGCTATCCCAATACAGCTTACAATTCCTAATAGAGCCTCAATATCGAAACTCATTTTTTTTTGTTTTGTTTTACAGCATATCAATCTCAATTGGGTTATGTAATACCGACAAGATTTTTATTGCTGGTAATATTTTTTTTTCAAAATTGTATTGTTGATAATAATTTTTCTTTAAAAATTTATTGCTGGTAATATTTTTTTTTTTTTTTTTACAGATTATTTCTGGTATTAAAACCTATTTTTATACTTTCATAGTATTTTGACCACAGTTTAGGGGTTAACTATTTGCCCATAGCTGGGACCCAAACAGGTGCTACAACCCCAGGCAAACCCAGGAACACTAGCAACCAAGAGGCAGCTCCACGCTCCTCAAAACCTCCTGATCAGAAACCTCGCTGTTGGATGTAGTTTATCGTCATACCCAGGCCGCACTTATATTTGTTTCAATATTTTCAATGTTCAAATATTTGTAAAATATTCCACAAGAGAGAATTATTCTTATAAAATAGACACTCATAAAAGGTTTTAGATAATCTTTTTGGAAAGACAGAATTATAAAGATTGACAAAAACATTTTCTTTGAGATTATTGATGACGATTCTGAAACACAAAAATTAAAGAACATAAAACAAAAATTGTAAAAAATATCAACTTTTAAAATGAAAAACATTTTATTAAATTTTGTAATTGATATTTAAAAAAAAAAAAATAAAAAAATTTATTTTTATTTGAATTTTTTTTAAATATTAAAAATAAAACCTGTCACTGTATTTACTTCCATATAAGTTACTCTGTGTTCTTTCAAAACACACCCTATGTCTTCTTCTCCATGATTCCAGAATAAAATTACAAATTAAATTATTGTTACAAATCAAAATAAACCTCAAATAAATATTAGTTGAATATTATTTTTTGTTTTTCCAAAATATTCCTTGCATTTATAACAAATGGTGCTTCTTATAAATTCCCTTCTTACTTTGTAAACCAGTACAAATTTATTTATATATAAAATTCTGTGACTTCCATCTGTCCACATCCTCTAAAATAGCCATACATTGACCGATCAAAAGCAAATTTTGGGGAGAAGTGCAAACAGGTAAGAGGTGGGGAACAAAGTTGGTTTTAATAGAGTGCAGAGCTTAGTACAATAAATTTTCATTCATTTTTTTTTGAGAAAATTAAAAGTCTTATTATTTAACATACAAAATACTCACACTATTTAAAAAAAAAAAAAAAAAAATTAATCAACAATATTAAATACTGTGAGGATTTCAAAAAAAAATTCTGTCTATATTTCTGAGATGAGGTATTGTAAACTATTTACATTGTTTAGACTGTTGTCCTCATCTTTCTTGTCATATTCACAACATTTCAACTGTTGTAAGCTCAGGCCTTCTTCAGGTGATTCGAATGTCAAACCAAACCCTTTATTCCGTCCACTGAGCTAAATAGTTCTAATTCCCCATGCCATGCCTCTTCCCGATATCTCAGTTTTACTTTCAGTTATTTTCCTTTAGTAATTCAACTCTCCAAGTTTTTGTTCATCTCTGCTGTGGCCAGGTATTGAACTCACAACTCTTTTGGGTCAAGTCACTAGATTACTTCAACCAACACTTATCCACTAGGCCAACAACAGTCTGAACAATGTAAATAATGCAAAAAAAATTACAGTTAGTTTAATAATTCCTTCCTACCTTAAGTGTCTTGGGTGATACATGCTTGAGCAATCACATTTCATTTCAATTGATTTTCCAAGAGAAGGCTGCTATTACTGCAGTTGACTGGTCACTGATAAAGGTTATAGGACCAAATCTGTTTTGCTATTTAACCCATAGCTGGTGGGAGAAGAGATGGATTCATACATTTCCCATGAATATTTGCCCACAAATGAATGTAATGGAACTTGACTGGAATTTGAACTCGGCTCTCCAATTTCTTATTCTAAAACTGTTATCCATCCCACCATTTGCACATCCAAGCACCCATCTAGGTACTGACAAGGCTCAATATTGCTTAACTTTGGTGATCAGTTGAGAACTGGTATTTACAATGTGATATGGCTGTAGGTTTAATAACTGCTGTTATAATATTCACATAAATATTTCATATGGGTTTCATATTTTTCAAATTTCTGTTCCTTTTAACATGGGAACAGACTGAGAAAAGTAGTTTATTCTTAACATAAAATCTGCCTTTTTTGGTATTGCCTTATATAAGGCACAGACATGTGCAAAAGTTTCCAATGACTTTTATTAACTAGATGCATGGGGGAGGCAACAAGAAAACACTCAACTATCTTTTCCTAAGAAATCATGACAATTCACAGATAATATCAGGTGTGTGCTATGTTGTCGACCAGAGATTTCTTTACCATAATCAGCAGAGAACACGCCAATTACCACTTGAAAATATCAGAGACATTTTACATTCGGTCAAGGCAGCCTTATCTCAGTAAGCAAAAGAAATGGCTGCTGGGACTTAATATAATCAATTATGTTTTTTTCTCTACAGATTACTTAGCTGCTCTTAATTTATTGTTTTTGGGTTTGTTTTTTTTTTAAACGTTGTGCACACAATTTAAACATTTGTCCTCAAATGAATCCAAAGAGCAAGGATCAAAATCCAGATAACCTCTTTGTTATTTTCTTGTTCTTTGTTGTTATTTTTTCAATTCACCTCTTTACAGCAAGTTATTTTATCGCTTCTCTTCTTCATCCAGTGTGTGTGTGTTTGTTTATATATATGATAAAAATATAGTTTTAAGGTAGTTTATATTTATGGGTTAAAGTACCCAATATCAGGGATAAAGCATATGTAAATATAAAAGTGGACACTGAGGTCAACACGCAGCATTGACAGTCTATTTCATTCTTGAATGCAATAAGCATAAAATAGACTTAACACTGGGTGTTGACCTCACTATATATATATATATATATATATATATATATATATATATATATGTGTGTGTGTGTGTTTTAATATGTCTGTTTTGATAGCATTAATCAAGTTTTCTACCCACTCCCTTAAGGACTATTTTACATAAAAAAATTAAAAAAAAAAAAAAAAATATGTAGCAAGCCATGTTCATCCACATCTTGAAGGATCATGTAGCTGGATATATTGTCATCAACAGTGGATACAAGGTTATTTTAGTGGGAAATTTAATCTATAAAGAAATAAATGCATTGAGGCTTTTATCAACAATCAATCAATCAATCAAAAAAGGAAGTTTATTTTTGAAATGATTAAACAGAATAAATGCAGAATGGATTTAAGAAATTCTTTTGGTCTTGTCAGATAATCAGAACCATTTTTTTTTGATTTGTCATAAATTGAACCAGCAATCTTCACATACCTTGCTGATTTCTTGTAAGGATTGAATTTGTGTATCTCTTTCTTGCTGTGCTGCATGCAACATTTCCAAAGTGTGTTCGCTTGCTCTTTGACTTTCCTGGAAAAAGAAAAAAAAAAACAAGTCAGAAAAAAAAATAAAATTACTAAACATTTTTTTTAGAATCATAAAAATGTTGAACTACATAATAACAAAACAAGAGCATAAAACTATTATTTCATGGAATGATTTATTAATAGAAAATCCAAAGTAATTACCCCTCCCCTAGCAGAGACAAGTACCTATGTTGTTGATACATTGCAGAGCAAAATAGATTTTATGTATTTTGTTGTCTAGTCCTGAAACAGCGCCATTTAGTGGCCTCCTGGCAGAAAAGATAAGAGTAATTCCTATAAGTTCAATTCTAAAGTCCAAGAAGATTACCAGGTATGATATTTAAAGATTTCAAGGGGATATGATGACCAAAATGTGTGTGTAACAACCAAAGTATGTTGATCCAAATAGAAAGGCATTTAATAATGATAATCCCTAGTTTCTAAAATCCTAGCACAAACCAGAATACTCCATTTCAGAGAATCAGTATTCTTTGGTAGCCAAAGGAGTTTTTTTTTGGATATTTTATCTCCAAGACTGGCTGACAAAAATTCTTTGTCTCTCTATGTGATTTAGTCTGACATGAAGATCAAACAGAGGTTATTTACTCAATTAAACATGATGGCAAGATGTGACACAAAGTTGGTTTTAATGTGGGATGCCCATGCACCAACATATGATCCAGGACAAAAATTGTCCAGTCTACATGACCATTGTCAGGCTGATGTCAGTACTCCCTTGACACCCACCCTTTTTAAAGTAATGAGGAAGGTGACATTGCAGAATGGAAATCTCCAGTATCAAGTGCTTTCTCCATTAATTAATGAGAACAAATATGAGGTCAAGTTAAGAAAATGGTATTAATCTCCTAAATAGACAAAGACTTTCCAAGTCATAACATATCAGCTTTCAAAATCCTATGAAAGTCATTGTATAAACAAATCTCATTAGGAAATTGGTCTTCAATAATCCTATTATAATAATACTTGTTCTACCATTTGTTATTTCACACAACCATTACACCCTGCCAATACCTCATAATTAACTATTTCATTCTGATTGCATGGAAAGAGGAGAAAAGACATTACTTGATGAATAAAAGAAGGGATGATTGTTTAATGGCTGTTTCAGTGAAATGGAAAAAGTTGTTAATTTCAAAATCTTTTCATTTGTACCCACTTCTCAAAATAATGATCAGCATTTATATTTATGATTGTTATTGCAATTTTTGTTAAAGTTGTTAAGCTCAAACATTTAACAATGCAACAGGGGAATTGCAAAAAGAAACTGAAATTTTCACAGGTTAAAACTCAAAGTTCAATTTATTTGGGGGTCAGCAACCAAAAACAAAAGAGAAAAATGTTTAAAAAATTTATTTCTGAAAATGTGTTTCCATTGTAATATTTAAATCAAATGAGAGGTCAATTCGATTTTGTTTTTAATGTTGAAATCTAAATATTTTCTACATAATTTTATGCTTTCAACGATATATTTTGTACATAATTTCATAGTTTCAGGTAAAAGGCATGTTTTTCAGATATATATTTTGCAGATCATAATAGTATGCAATTTTTAAACATAACGTGAAGACAGACAGACTGTAAAAATACCGTGAAACACTATCTTTTCTTTTTCTTAAATCATGCTCCAAGTTTTGCAAAATATTGGAAGAGTTTTGTCAATCATCTTGTTTATCATTATTAATAATATTAGAACAACTTGTTTTTTTGTTAGAGAGCAATAATGAATCAACTCCTAATCTAACAACACCAACATGGTTTTAAAAACAAGTATATAACATTCTAAACCAAATAAGTTACTTAAATAAACACAAGAATGTGACAAACATGCATCGGTACAGACGCAAAAGAGGCCCCGGATTGCATGTGGACATGTTTGTCAACAGCTGTCATATCTGGGTTTTCCCTGATAACAGCAAAACAGCTTGGCATGTCTAGATACAGGCCTCTCTGCAACTGGTCAAGATTCAGGTCTTTGTAAGATGACTCATGCCAATAAATGAAACAGAAAAACCAGCAGTGAGCTAGTCACAGTGTCTTGTGAAGTCAGTCCTATGAGCATATTTTTCCTTAAGTTGCTGTGGTTTCCAAGGCAGAGTTATTTTTGTTACTGCCCATCACTTTCCCCTCTCTGCCTATTAATCCCTTAGGAGGTGGAAGAATAATTGCTTAGGTGATTCCCCAAACTCTTGATATATATTACAAAAAAAAAAAAAAAAAAAACAATGATTTTTCTCTGCTTTCTGCTGTTTAAATATTATGCTATCTTATAATTGTTGTTACTTTTTCATATGCATTCCATACACTAAATAAAAGAATTATTACGGAACAGATATAGTACTATGTATCTTCAGCACTAGATCCAAGTCTTCAATCATTGCTGATGATTTTCTTTGTTTTCATCATGGCTTCAGGCAATAAAAGGATACAGAAATTACAAGTGAATTTTAATTATAAATTAATAAAAAAAAAAAAAAAAATCAATGCTGATAAAAAAAAGATTCATGTTAGTAGCAGAATTTTTTTAGTAAAACTAAGTTCAAGCTGCAAAAAAATATTTCTCTTATTTTTTGTGATTGTGTCACATCTCTCCATTTTGTTCAGTAAATCTGCTGCAAGTGATGATAATTTGATATGAAAACAAGTAAAGAGACTAATATTTCACTTGTAAAAGATAATGTTAAACATTCTACTGAAAAGCCAGCAGTTATTAAAAATATTGCAAAATTTTTCAAGTTATTAAAAACATTTCAAAATTTCAAACAAAATTTTCAAATACGACAGTAAAAGATGTAAATAAAAGTTTAGTAACTGCAAAATAATCATAAACTAGCTGAACATTTTTGCTCTGCAACAAAAATATTCTTTCAAGATTTTTATGGTTAAATTTTATTCAAGAATTCTTGCTATGAAAATTTCTTTAATTTTAAAATGAGATAAAGTTGAAATAATTTCATAAAAAATAAATTCAACTGATTCTTTTTTCTTAAAAAAATTTAAATAGAAATATGTTAATCTTTAGTGAACAATAAAAAGAACATTAATTTATAATAAATTAGTTTTAAATAGTGAACAAAGTAGAAAGTAAATGTTCTCAAATTGTGTTTAGATATAAGAAAAGGTTTTTAATCATTTTATTTAAAACCATGCTTTATAAGACAGTATTTATTGCATTCTCTGCATGAACTGAAAATAAGAAATAATTGATTACAAAAATTGATTAAATTTAGAACAGCAATTATTGAGAGCAATCGTGAAATAAAATGAAAAGCAAACCAATATGAATTTAATTATCATAAGCAATTTTTCCGGCATGCTCAAGTTATTTCCCTTGTTTTGCCTTCCACATAAATTAGTGCAGTGAAATTTAAATGGAAATCCTCAATAATAAAATGAAAAAGCAATTAAATCAATGAAAAAGCAATTAAATCTGCAGCCAGAACAAAAATGAGTGTGAGTATGTAATTAAAAGTTTATACAATACAAAGCGATTAACATTGCACCATACAGAATTTAAATTCATCCATAACAAAAAGGTCATTTGATACAAATACTAAAATTAAACTAAAAAATATAAGACTAATTTTGGCAATCTGTTATCCATTATACAAGTAAAGATCCATTGGATTGATATTCTTTTAAGGTTTTATTCTCATTTACTGTTTGATATTTAAATAGTCATAGTAGTGGGTCAGAAGCTGAACTTTTTCCTACATAATCTAATCCTACTGGATAATTTAACAACTAATCCAATGAGGCTCTGGAATCAGAGTCCAGACAAGATGATGTGTATGTGTAATTCTATATTTATCTATAGTATATCTACCATAAAATGCTAATAAGTGGTTAAAATTAGTAAAATAAAACATTAATTGGAATTTAGTTATCAATATATAACTGTTCAAGTTACAAAATTTTTTTCATAAAAAAAAAAGTTTTATAATAATTAGATAGAATAATGTCCATTCTAAATCAAGAATTTAATTTTGGAAAATTAAAGTTGATAAAAATAAAACAGAATTTGGAAATAAAGTAGAAATTTTGTTAGAAAAAATGTTATTCTTCTTAGAAAATATGCTTCAAGAAAATAATGTCACAAGTTCTACAAACAGAAAGACAATACTCATTCTCCATACAAAAAAGAAAAAGAAATCCTACACACTTTGCAGCAACACAATACTAGGAGAAGGGGTGTAATTTTTACAATATCTCACATCCAGTAAGGAAAATTCAATGACAAACTATTGCTAACATTTTTGTAAATACTATGTACATCCAAGACACAAGCAATCATGGCTTTCCACAGCTTTCTTTTATTTAGCCAAAGGAAATGCCAAGATAATTCTTGAAAAAGTTACTGAAGTTTCCTATTACCGTTCCCATGGTTTTTAATCTATAGTTGTCCTTTTCCTAAACTGTCATATCAAAGGTGAAGAGTCAAGTCTACCCTAATATTTCACCTGTAACTGGAACTGCTAACATACAGAAAAAAAAAAAAAAAAAAAAAAAAGGAAAAATAAATGTCTGGTGTTAAAATTTAACTTGAAAGATTGTCAATCAAGTTCATCTGGCGACTTGAGTTCAATCTCTAGGTTAAGTAGTGCCAAAATATACACTTTACTCAAGGGAGAGGCAGATCAACATCAACTGATTATTACAAGTTTTGAAATTTACTAAATAGGACACAAACTATGATGGAAAAAAATAACAAAAGATGGTTCAGATAAAAATGTTACATTCAACATTACTGGAAGGTTATCAAATGCAAATCATCTGAGAAAGGCCAGGGTGTTGACTATCGTTACTCAGTTCAGTCTAAATAAACGGCAAATTCTGTATGTCCGTCTGTGTGTCTGAAACCCCTCTAACTCAGGCCACACCTGCTCCACATAGATATATTGTACCTTTTTGGAATCAGGATGAGCCTGGGATTGAAAATCTAGCCTTCATCTGATGCTTGAACAACTTTGGGAATTGTGTCGGGATGAGGAAGGGATTCGTTAAAAATTCAAATTTTAAAATAACTGAAAAAACAATTAGTGATTTTAAAAGTTTTTAATTTATAGTGAGTTTAAAGTAACACAAAAGCTTTGTAAATTTAAACATTTTTGTTTTTAATTCCATTTAAAATATCTCCAAAACTTTGTGAAGTGAGGAAATCAGTTTTTATTCTTCAAAAATCCAAAGAATCAGAGTTAAAATAAGAGCTTTCATGATGTGAAGTTTTGAAGTTCTGCAGAGTTTTTGATTTGAAGAACTTAATTTTCAGCCTGAATTGGACTTTCATCCCAAATCGGTCTTATAGCTTGAATCAGTGCTAATGTAAGATCTTAAAGTTCCATGGAGTGAGTTGAGCAATTCAAAGTTATTTCTTCAAAATTATCATTGCTGCTTTCTAAGCTGGACCAGAGGTCCATTTTGTTTTAGGCTGGAGGCCCAATTAATCCTCTGCAAGAGAGAGCTTAAAAGTCAGAATGGATAAATAAAAAATAAATAGTAAATAAATAAATATGGCAACCACCTTTATTGTCACCTGGTGGAATTGTTCTGGAACCACTATGTGTTGAAAACAATTTGCATATTAATACTAGCTGCTGTTTTAATTTTTGCATTTCATTATCCCTCTAGATCAATTTGAACTAAACAGCATGTAAGCAGATCATAGATACTTCTCTCAAGGTAAGGCATTCTGAAAATTCTTGTGAAATGTCCACTCAAGCAATATTAGCTACCTTTCTATTTAGATCATTTTGCAGAACAACATCAACGCATATTTTTTTTGTCTTCAATACTTAGAGGAGGTTAGAGCTCTGCCAAATCTAGCATACAATCTATTGACAAAACAACATAACATTTCATTTGAGGTTTAAATAAAGCCAGAGAAAAAGTATAGCAAACTACTTTTGAAAATGCTGTGGACACAAACAATCAAAGCTTTCTTTTATTTAGGATTTATTCAAGGTCAAGATAATTCTTGAAAAACATGTATAGTGAAGACAGAAATAAACACTAAGACAGTCAAATATCAATTGGCAAAAAAAAATGGTTTCTTGGTGGATTGCACATTTCTTCTGGTTAATAAATTAATGCTTTGAAAATAAATATTTAATATTTTTCAACCAATGGGTCACATTCCATCAACAATAAAAATACATGCTTTGTGATCTTTTTAAAGCAAAGTTTCTAGATGGACAAACCAGTAAAGAGAGCCAGATGGTAACATTTCACAGCAATTGGCTTAAAAGAAATTCACTTACTAATTCACCCATCTTCCTAATCATGCTACATGATACTTACACTTTCCTCCTCACTTTTTCACTGCCTTTTCTTTCTCACACATAAAACAAAGAAATTACATTTCTTTTCATCTTAAACAACTACAAAACAAGGACCGTAAGAACTAACAGACTAAGAAAACTTTAGTTGTAAAAAAAAAAAAAAAAAATCTTTTTCACCTTTTTCTCTATTGTAGGTTGATTCAAATCTGCAACAAAGGTACTGATGGGGTTTTCTTTTACTTTTCCCATGGTTTTTAATTCTACTTTAGAAAAAAAAAATTCTATTTTTGAAAACTACTTTTGAAAATGCTATGGAATCATTATGTATAATGTCTATGTCTTCCTTAAAACCATGATGCTATCAGGCCAGCTTTAGCAATAAAATTGCTGCTTTGAATAACAATCCATCTTGATGAAATTTTGATCTTGACCTTCAACCTCATCGAACACAATTATCCTTCCAGTTCTTTATTTCACTTTCTTTTGCCACCAAAATTTCATGGCTAATGGCCACATTACATTAAAACACTGATTCCCATACAATCACTGAAGTTAAGCAATGAGCATTTCAAAAATGACGAGTATTCGTTGACATCAGAAAAGAAAATAACAAGCCTATGTAAAATCCTTTTTGATATAAAATAAGGAAAAAAATTAAATTAACAAGAGAAGAGTGTCTGAAGCCATGTGAAAAATTTCATTTCTGTTCAGTTTTCCACCAATGGCAAATTACTCACTAATTGTATTATCAACCTTAACCAAGCACTTGCAACTTCAAAGAATTTTATTTCAACAATCCAAGAAAGCTAAATATTTCAAACTATTTTCATCTACTTTTGAACATATGCAACTGTACATCCCTTCTATGAACAACAAATTCTCTTACCTTTGTTTTAAACCTTTTTTAATATTATTTTGTGTCAGATCATTTAATATGCTGTATGAACATTTCCTCTTCATGACAATTCATTGAAACGGAACTTTAAAAATTTCTGATTTATTTTTCTGAATAAGCTACTGATATGACTTCAAGTATATAAATTTATAAATAAGTTCCTTAACTTACTTGGTTAAAATTACCCAAGTGTTTCCTCATCATTATCGTCCATCAGTAATCTTCTTAATGTGACTAAAATAATTGTTTATTTTCACTCCCGATGTTCCATGTCATGCATAGTCATCATGTCACATTATCAGTGTCTCCTTAATGTCATATATAGTCATCATGTCACATTATCAGTGTCTCCTTAATGTCATATATAGTCATCATGTCACATTATCAGTGTCTCCTTAATGTCATATATAGTCATCATGTCACATTATCAGTGTCTCCTTAATGTCATATATAGTCATCATGTCACATTATCAGTGTCTCCTTAATGTCATATATAGTCATCATGTCACATTATCAGTGTCTCCTTAATGTCATATATAGTCATCATGTCACATTATCAGTGTCTCCTTAATGTCATATATAGTCATCATGTCACATTATCAGTGTCTCCTTAATGTCATATATAGTCATCATGTCACATTATCAGTGTCTCCTTAATGTCATATATAGTCATCATGTCACATTATCAGTGTCTCCCTTAATGTCATATATAGTCATCATGTCACATTATCAGTGTCTCCTTAATGTCATATATAGTCATCATGTCACATTATCAGTGTCTCCTTAATGTCATATATAGTCATCATGTCACATTATCAGTGTCTCCTTAATGTCATATATAGTCATCATGTCACATTATCAGTGTCTCCTTAATGTCATATATAGTCATCATGTCACATTATCAGTGTCTCCTTAATGTCATATATAGTCATCATGTCACATTATCAGTGTCTCCTTAATGTCATATATAGTCATCATGTCACATTATCATTATCAGTGTCTCCTTAATGTCATATATAGTCATCATGTCACATTATCATTATCAGTGTCTCCTTAATGTCATATATAGTCATCATGTCACATTATCATTATCAGTGTCTCCTTAATGTCATATATCATCATATTCAGCAAGAATATAGGGATTGCTGTTGTCATTGATTCAAATTTTTTGTTTTAATTCTTGCCTGGCCAAATGAAACCAAGTCACAGATAATCAACCTCACAGTGCCCATCATAACCTTCAGGATTCAGTTTACAACAACTGCTGGGGTGTGTGGAAAAACAACTCTAGTGCCTAGTGTGAGAGGAACCATTTTCAGCACCAAATAGAGGCTCAACCTTAATCTTAGGTGCAGATTGGGGGGGGGCAACACTTGAACCTTTACTGACCAGAAAGACAAAATCCAAATATATGCTTTTAAGTAAACTTCATGTTGCTATAAATAATATTTTCACAGCTGATATTACAAGGTATGTCTCACTCTTAGGTAGCTTCTTCTGTATACCGTGTCCCTCTTGGACATGGCCAATCATGGCTCTCCACAATTTTCCATCCTTTGTAGCTCTTAGTAATTTTTATTTTTTTTTGCTATCTCTCCTAATCCCTGTTCTGCCAACCATTTACACAAGCTTGTTAGTTAGGTCATTTTCATCAGGTTCATCAAGTGCTCTCATATGAAATACAATGTAATCAACAAGAGAGCCAGCAAGTAAACAAAAGCACACACTCATAAAATGACACACACTCTCACACACACAATGTACATCTACTGAAATCAGATAACGAATTGCTAATTTAAACTTTGAAATGAGAAACAAACATTTCCCTTTTGAAAGTTAAATATTTTATAAATAATACAATGTAACCCGGATATAAGAGAGTTGTCGGGACCAGAGAAGAAGTCTCTTATATCCGGGTTTGGTCTATTTTGTTTACATTAACACAGGCTCTAATTTGGGACCAGAGAAAATCTCTCTTATATCCGAGTTTCTCTTATATCCGGGTTACACTGTATATTTAAAAATGGTTTTCTTAAATTTCTGCTATTATTTAAAGAGGAAGACAAACACACAAATTCATACATTTTTAGACACACCTGTATTACTATAAGCACCCGCCAGCCACTTTATTTGGTACACTCTTCTAGTTTCAGGTTGGACACCCCACCCAATTTGTCTTTAGAACCACCTTAATTCTTCTTGGCATATTAAAATGATCAGTAAGTACTCTTTCAAAATTTACATCCATGCTGTTATTATGGCATCCTGCATTTCCTCTAGATTGGTTGGCCACCCATTCACAATTCAAATCTCTCTTTTCACCACATCCAAAACATGCACTATGAGATTGAGATCCAGTGAATGATCGATTTCTTTTCTACAGCTTATCAATCCTTTACAGGTTATTTAATATCAGAAAATTTTTTACATTGTTAGAATTTGGTGGGGAGAGACAATGGTTTAGTGATACAAGTCTTACTAATTAACCCATAGCTGGTGGGAGAAGAGGGGGAGATTCATACCTTCCCCAAGAGTATTTTCACATAAATGAATATAATGAACCCAATGGGAATTGGAACTTTGCTATCTGATTAACAATTCCAAGCTATTATCCATTATATAATCCACACATCCATCTTACAGCACCTGGTATTTCCAAGTTGTCATCCATTGAGGTACTGACTAGGCTCAGCATTGCTTAACTTCGGTGATCATATGGGAACTGGTATTTCAAAGGGATGTGGCCATAAGCCTATCCAGTGAGTGTGGAGGTTTGTAAACCCATTGCAATGTTGCATGAGTTTTGTTGTGATGTATTGTTTATAGTCAAAAACTGAGGCCACAATAAACTGTCAACCACAATACGTTGGTATGCTACGGCATTTAAATGACCTTTGATTGATAGCAAGGGTCCCAATGTATGCCAAGAAAATACACCCTATACCAGGGGTTTTCAAACTTTTTGACTTGCGGACCCCTTTATATTTCAGGCTTTACCTTAGGGACCCCCTTATCCAAAATTCAAATCCTTTGGTTCCTCCTCTGCATGAATAGAATCCATTATCTTTATCAATTTAAGATACAAATTATATTAGTATATCAAATCTATGAAATAGTTTATTGTATCAATTTAATTCATGATCGGCCTATAAGTTACTTATAAGCGCTTATAAGTTGCACGTCACCCATAAAGAAATCTTTGCTGTCCACGGAACCCCTATCTTCTCCTTGCAGACCCCCTGTGGTCTGCGGACCACAGTTTGAAAAGCCCTGCCCTATACCATTACACCATAAGTCTGAAACATTGATGCAAAAGCAGGATGAATCCATACTTTCATGCCTACCATCCAAATTCATTTTTTGGTTCTTAATAACAGAACTAGAGAACGTAAGGAAAATTCTTGTTCCATAGCAAGATACCCGCCCATCCAACTAAGAAGACCCCCTCCCACACACACACACACCTCGTGCGAGGGGGAGTCTCTTAGTTGATGGGTCAATTCCACAACAAAGCTGCATTTTTCTCTCTCGGACGAGCAATAACTAGTTGGTTTGTTCAGAGATGAAATGAGAACTTCAATAAAAGGGATTTTTAACTTATCTATTTTATTAAACACATCAACATGTCCATTTTCTAACTAGCCAGTGGGGCCCACTATCCCACCCCACTGAGGAGCAAGCCTTGAGTCATGATTTTAATACGTCTGCATTCCTCAACATGTAAATCTTCACGGCTGAAATCATTTTCTATCTCTTTAACCTTCCCCTGCTAGTTTTAGCCAATCAAAAAGGACTTCCTTTGTTTTGTCTACCATCTGACTTTAAGGTCAGCCTCTGAAGGTCTGAGCCAAAATACACTGTCACTATTGAATAATAGTCTGAAACTATTATTTAACATTCTGATAAAGTGTCTTAATATTACAATCCTGCTTTTTATTTTAATACAGGTAGACAAGACAACAACCATCCATGCACCAATTTGTGACCTAGATTTACCTGCAGTTGGACCTTATAGTCATCAAGCTGTTGAGCCTGGGCCGCTAACTGCGTCTCCAAGGCATTGATTTTCTGACGGTATTTCTGTTCCATATCATCCAACTGCTGTGTGTTGACAATGTTTGTAGCATCAACCTGTGTAAAAACACCAACCACCAAGAACTTCAGACATTAAACATGTCATCTTTCATACAACTCAAGAGGATCAGAGAAACACAAAGCAAGAATGGAGAAAGCAATTATTTAAAAAAAAAAAAAAAAAAAAAAAAATTAAAAGGAGAGTGAGAGAGAGAAACCAGGTTTGTTTTGTTTTTTTTCTCCTTTAAAAGTTTGTTTCTGAAAACTTTCACAACGCATCCACAGAATTGCGTTATTTCAAAGTTCCAGAGCCTCACCTGTTGTTGTAAAGTTATCACCAGTTCTTCGAGTTCTTTGATTCTCAAAATAGAAGAATGCTGTGAGGTATCCAAAGCCTGGAATAAATTAGAAATAGACTGATTTAGTCAACAAACATACTCATTAAATTTGTACTAACATTTCTACGTAAAAAAAATTGCAAAGTGCATCAGGATTATAATCCAGACTCACTTATAGACACGTAAAGATCAATAGCAACTTACTTCATATATACAGAATTTAGAAATATTTACGAATAAATAAGGGGAGGTTACTCTGTAATTAGACAAATTCCAAATAAATTTTAAACTTAAAAAGGTTAGTTTTACTTATTCTTGTATTTCTGATGGTCTGTAATCAACCAAGAGTTGAGTCTTAACTGACTTTTAAAGATCCATGCTTACAATTTAGAAAAATTGTCTTTTTACAATGAAATAAAAATGTCTGTAACAAAAAAAAAAAAAAATTAAATAATTCTTTAAAAATGCCTTTCTGCCTGTGTGCAATTATTCCATTTATTTTGAATCCTGAACAATATAATGTTATTATGAGATCTCACTTCATATCCTCAGCTAATTTGTCTAGCAAAATATCAGTTTTCAAACCAGTATCAGAAAGTATCTTTCTCACTTTCAGAAGTAATAAATCTCAATTAGAAACTGTCAAGCTCTGTCATCCATATTATAGCCAATGCTTCTTTCTCAATATTTTAGTTCAATTCGGCTTTTGACAATTTTCTTGAAAGGTGCATAATAAGATGACCATCCTGAGCTAATATTCCTGAAAAGTGTTCAGTAGTAAATAAAAACTGATACCCTCCAATTATCAACTTTGACCCTGTTTTTTTTTTAATCTGTGTTTATTCTCTTATCACTGCCGGTAATTTGCAAAACAATTCAATCAATTAGAATAAATTCCACATAAATGATTATGATCATTATTTCATGTATTTAGAAGCTTGTGTCTTCATTTTCATAAAAAAAATTGTTTTGTCACAAAATATTTTAGTAATAAAAACAATCTTCAGACATCAGAAAAATAGTTGAAGCTCAATCAACTAAAATATTTCTAAAACTCAAATTCATTTTATTATCAAAAAGCAAAACTTAATTCTAAACCCCTTTTACTGAAAAATTGAAAACACATTAACATCTCTATGAGTCATAATATTGAGAAGAATTTTCTTTAGCATTGATTTTATTTTGTCTTGTAACAAAAAGCATATTAGAATAAACAAACAAGACTGTCACTTTTTGCTTCTCTTGTAAACACATGGACCAGAATAGGATATGTATTATATTTTAAGTCTATAATTGTAAAAAAAAAATACAAGTAGGTTGTTCAAAAAATAATATCTGATTTTAGAATCAATTTTTATTCCTGAATTAATGTATTTAAACAATGTTTAAATCAGTTAAAATAGGAACCCTAAACATCTATACATTTCTACCGCCAAGTTACAAGTTTATTCATGCCTTTATAATAACACTAAAGGCTTGGACACTAATAAATCTTTAAATGCAGTTTCTGCATCTCCTTTCCAATGTATTCTGGCTTAAAAAAATAGTCAAGATTCTTGAAAAGGTGGTAGTCAGTGGCTGAGAGATCAGGGGAATATGGTGGATGTGGTAAAGTCTCATATCTCAAGTCAGTGAGCTTCCGCAGTGTCAATGCTGGCAATGTATGATTAAGCATTGTTATAAAGCAACAGGCCAAATTTTGATTATATGAGTGTCCATTTCATCCAGTTGCTGGCACTAAATTTCAACAGTGATGCTTCAGTTAGATTCCAGAAAGCTGTAATAGATAATGCCAATGACAGACCACAAGACAGTTACCATAATCTTTTGTTGGTACAATTTCAGTTTTGAAAAGTGTTTGCATCCTTCATTATGATCAAGCCATTGAGCTGATTATGATTGTCATAAAGGATCCATTTCTCATCACAAGTCACTCTTCGATCAAGAAATGAATCAGTCAAATTTCAAACACACTTCAAAATGTTGAACTCTTTCATGAAGTTCATGTGGAACCCATATATCCAGATTCTTCACCTTGCAAATTTTCTTATGGAATGATATTGTTTAAATACTGACACCCATTACCCAAGACATTTTTCCGACATGACTTTTGTTCACCTAGTGTTTTCAGATATAGATTGTCAATTGCAAATGGATGCCTTTTATTACCTATAAAATGGATTATAACCAATCTTGAACTCATGCAAAAAAACAAAAAAAAAAAACAAAATGTAAACACATTTCTTTGTTCATGTTTAAGATGAGGGTTATATCAGGCTTTAGGTTAAATTCTGAAAGAGATTGACATAAAATTAAAAAAGATACATTTTGGTTTTAATCCTGTATGAGATGACTGCAAAATTCTTTCCCCTCTCTAATTTATAGGAAGAAGCACACAAATGCATGCTGGGATTTCTTCCTAGCCAATAAAAAGGGGGTTCTTGGTTTCATATGACTCAGTCCCAGTCTGTCTTGAAGTCAGAAAGCTGTGCTTGCTTGCTTGAACATGCTCTTGTGTGTCAACCCCAATTCTTAGTTTGTAAACTTTTTGCCATATTACTGTTGCTTTGCCTTATTACTGTTAATTTGCCTTGCATATATTGTTTGCTTGATCTATATTATTTTTGGCCCTATTCTTTAACTTTTTCTTGTTATTGAAAACTTTGTCAATTATTTACATTTAACCATAGCCATTCACTCTACAGGAAGGAGTTATATATTTTTGTACAACTTTTATATATTAGAATACAATTAAAATGTTTATTCTTAAACTGGACATTATTTCTTGAACAACCTCATAAAATTAAAAGAAAATAAGGAAATACCTGTCGCTTGGATTCTAATTCTGTTTGCAGTTTATTGATGTGATCACAGTAATATTTTTGGTCTCGGTCTCTGGCAGCCTGAAGTTGTTCCAATTTGCTCCTAAAAATTGGGGAGAAAAATTCATTCAAGAAATGTAAGATTTTGCTTTTTAAACAAGAAAAAAGAAATATTGACATTTAACAGAATTGTTGTCCTTGGATAATAATTAGTAAGTTAGAATTTTTCAGACATTAATATGAATCAAATGCTAAAAACAATCTGGCTTTTAGTCAATAAAATTTCTCATGCAACATAAAAATAGCTTTTTAACAATTTAATTCTATTTTCGTGCAATTAAAAACAAAATTAAAAATTCAATGACAATATTTAAATGATTTCAAAACTTCTATAAAATGTGTGTTATTATTGCTACAATTTGTAATGTTTTTGGTACTTAACCTAGTTGGGAGAACACATTTTGTGCAAACATATTTTAAGGTTATGTACATAAAATATAAAGAGTGTATCTGGTGTATATTCTTAAATAAGAACAAAAAACATACCATGACATACGCATTACAAAGCAACAAACACTGGCATATATATATATATATATATATATATATATATATATATATATATATATATATATATATATATATATATTTCATTAAATTGCTGAATCCTCCTAATTACAAAAAAAGTGGCTACTGAACTCAAGTAAAGATGCTGAATCCACTAAGTGACAAATTTTATTAATCCTCTCTCTATATATAATTAATGCAAATACAGTGTGACCCGGATATAAGAGAGATTTTCTCTGGTCCCAAATTAGAGCCTGTGTTAATGTAAACAAAATAGACCAAACCCGGATATAAGAGACTTCTTCTCCGGTCCCAACAACTCTCTTATATCTGGGTTACACTGTATAAAATTTGTCACTTTGCTGATTGGTGTTACCATCAGCATACCAATTAAAGTTTCATAGACAAGCCTTCCAGCAATTGCTCCATCTACTCATCAGGAAGATCACTAATACAGGGTATGATAGGTAAATTATCATTTCATATTTTTTTTTTTATTTTGAATGTGTGCATTGTTTGCTTTTGATTTTGTCAACTGCACAGTATAGGAGGGTCAGTTGGACACCATCTGTGAGAAAAAGAGCACCATGATGCAATTCACTCCGCCAGATATTTGGAAACAGTATGCTGTACTACTTGGCATTCGTGCCGAAAGTTCCAATACAAACATTTTAGAGTGTTTGGGTATCAATCTGAGGATAGTGCAGAGGATTTGGAAGGAGTTGGATGAATCCAATGGCAATTAAGAACATACAGCAGTTTGGAAAACTCCCTCTGATTGTTCCTTGAGGAGACAGTGCTGCCCTGGGTCAAGAGGGTGGCTGCTGGAAGACCTTATGTCTGGCAACAGGACTCTGCACCATGCTACACAATTAGGAGAACCCAGTCATGGCTGTCAGACAATTTCTGTGACCACATCATCCCTTACATCTGGCCACCTAACTCCCCAGACTGCAAACACCGCTTGATTATTATGTATGGGGCACATTTTTGAGAGAGAGAGAGAGAGAGAGGCCAACAAAACTCCTTATAACACCAAAGATGAACCAAAGGCTAGGATTATGGCAGCATTCACCAACTTAAACAAATAGACCATCCAGAAGAGTTGCAGGAGATTCCGAAGTTGGCTGGAGGCAGTGGTTGATGCCAATGGCGATTTTATTGAATAAATTTACTCTTTAATGTTTCAAGATATTTTTTGTGTAAATATATCTGTTAAAATGGGATGTCAGAGTTATTTTCATGTTTGTGTAATTTAGAAAATTTATCCATCGTACCCTGTGTGTGTATATGTAAGTGCGTGCATGTGTGTGTGTTCAAAATTTGCTACATTTATATGAGAAAAGTGTTTTGTATAGGAAACATCTTCTATAAATAGTGTAGATATATAGATCAACACTGCAAGGTGAGTGTAAATTTTATGTTTCAATGTAATCTTCAGATTGCAATGTGTGGGACTAACAGTCATCATGAAGTGTTGATTCCTATGTCCTCTATATATATATATATATATATATATATATATATATATATATATATATATATAGTGCTACTATATTTCTAACTCTTCAAATGTATAACTAATTTAATTTCTATATTTCCATTTTTGCACCATATTAATTATACCTTATAATTGTCCCCGGTTCTAAGAAATCTCTTTCCTTTTATCACTTACACCTCTTTATCTATATATTTTAAGGTTGTTTTTAAGTATAACTTGTTTTTTTAGATTTAACTTTAATTTTTTTTTTTTCTTATTTCTAAATTTATAATTTATTTTATCTTATATTTTTATTTCTAAATATTTTTTATTCTTTAATATAACCTATTGATTTTTATTAAATATAAACTTTTTAAATATAATCTACTTAATTTCAATATAAATTATCAAAATATGACTTATTTTTAATTTATTTAAATACATCATATTTTTAAATATAACTTGTCTTTGGAAAGAGTACTTTTAAGTATGATTTTGTATTTTTAAACATAACTTTATCTATATAATTTAAAAATTTAAAAAAAAAAAAAACCCTTTTTATTCCTCCCTTATTTTCAAGTGAAAATTTATTTCTTCATATAACCCCAATTTAATGTCATAAGGTCAATATACAGGTTTAATTTTATAAAATAACTTCCCCTTAAGACTAATACCTTCCACCCTCCCCTGATCCACTGTCTCATGCCTTTCATCTGACTGAAACATTGAAATTGATAAATTCTGGATTAGTTCTTTTTTAGTTTTTTTTGTGGCTGTCACTGTTAGATTTCTAATTCCGACGTAAACTCAGTCTACCGGGGGGGGGGCTTGAATAAGACTAAACAAATCTCATCAGTTGAAATAAGGCTATTCTTCATATGTGGTAATTTGGGATTTTATTGTGTACTAATTATTTGCTCTGTAATAATATATTGAGCTCTTTTGGTGGATCAGTTTTAATATTTTACATTACTAGGATCCACATGGATTAGATACCAATGGATTTATTACCTTTACTCTCTCTCTCTCATATATATATATATATATATATATATATATATATATTGAAATCAGTCATATTCATTGCCTAAGAGACAAAAGATAATGGCGAAAAGTGTCAGCAAATATTCCTGTTGCTATGTCCCGAGTTCCCAGCTGTTGCACAATGTGGACTTTTATGCCGGTCACTAGCAGGATTGAAGCATCGCATATGATACAAACATAAAACCAGTTTCATATATCAAAATCAACAGGAGAGTACATCATATATATATATATATATTATGGAATTGATTACAAATTAAAATATTGTCTGTGAAAACACAAAAAGCAACTCAACAATTAAAAACAATGGAATATTTCAGATATTACATGATGTAAATTTATTTTATTTTTGTTAAAATTTGTTTTCTTTTAAATAGTGAAATGATTACTGGTAGGAAATTTTTTTTTTTTCTTCTGAAGTAAACAAAACCGAAAAAGATTCCATATAAAAAGAATGAAGCTGATTTTGTAAGAATAAATAAATCTGACAACTACCAATTGATTCTCTTATTTAAAAAAAAAAAAAAAAAAAAAAAAAAAAAAAAAAACTTACTCTGCTTCTTTGAAATAATGTTCCTTTTCTTCTTGTAAGTGAACATAACTGAAAGAAAAAAAAAAAATTCATTTAAAATGTTTTACACAATTACAAACAGAATTATTCTCTTTTCTGTAGAACATGAAATGTTTGGACTTAATTCTTGATATCTTAGTACACGTTATCAAAAATAAGTTTGCTCCTGAAAGATCTCAATTCTGATAAGCAAGTTTTATACTTCTACACCTAAAACTAGCCATCTTTGATATTTGGAGGGAGAACAAAGTTAATGAGAAAGATAAAAATCTGAATAAGAAAAAATGTATGTCCGAATTTATGGGATGAAGAGTTATCACTATTTACAAAATTTATATTCAGACTATTGTCCTTATTTTTGTTGCTGTTATCACATTTCGGCTGTAATTCTCTCTAACCTTCAATATATATTGATCTGGGTATCCTACAAGAAATTCTTAAATGAATCCTTTATTTAAACTACAGGGTGTGTTCATCTTGTCTGGTTTTTTACACATCTGTACGTTGAGAGCACTCCTCACAATTGAGAAAAAGTTGGTATTATATAGCTCTCTCAGTCCCAGACCCACACTGACTATTGGCTAATGCCTGCTTAGTATCGAATTTGAATTATGACACTGTGTCCTCCACATGTTTTGACTGACCTTTCAACCATCTGATGAATATTCATGAATGTTCCTTGATAAACCGATGACATCCTTCCTTCCTTTTGTATTTAAACACGTGCAACAAAATAATTCCTACATTGCCTTGATAAAGTCCCTCAGGGGACGAAAGATATCAGCTAAAAATAATTTTTCCTCATCTTTTTATTCATTTTGTTCTTTTACAGATAGAGTGTATCTGAAAATAATGTGTGTATGCATATATATATATATATATATATATATATATATATATATATATATATGAATCACATATATTTTCATTAATCTTTGAATATGCTTCCTTATCAAAAACCAACAAACAAAGACAGAGAGAACAATGGCCAAAAACTAATAAAAATCAAAACTCAGATAAATGTTCAAATGAACCAATATACAGTGTACAGCAGAAATACTTCCCATTTAATTGTAAGACATTAGTAGCAATGGTGTCTTCATCTAGTTAATGTCTTACCATTATGTGGGAGGTATTTCTACCACACATTGTACAATGGTGTGCACAGTTATTCTATAAATTAAATCATTTACAGTTTAATTTTCTTTTTTCATTTAACTGCTACTTCATATTTAGTTGCATGAATCAAACTTAGATTATTTTATTAAAAACTATTTTATTTACCTTTCTTGTTTTTTCTTGAGTTTTTCTGTGAGCTTTTCAATTTCTTCTTCAAGGGAGATAACTTGGGACTTGAATTTTTTCTAGGTGGAAAAGAAAGTTCATATGAGTCTCCACAAATTAAATTTTAATGTTGTTTGAAATACATTGGGAGGTAAAAAAAAGACAAAAAGAAATTAAAATTATACCTCAGTATTGATCAGCTGTTCTTTAAGAATTCGATTCTCTTCAAGTTCTGTGTCCAGATTTAATCGCAAAGCTGAAAATGAATGTTTTAGATATAAATGAAATATTTCATTTGATCTTAACCTGCAGGCAAGTATGACCTTTATGTATTCTTTTCTGAAATATTTAAGTTGCAATATAAAATTATTTTTTACATTATTGTTCACCCAATACAAGGCACAAGAGTCATTCAAAGCAGAGGGTTACTGAATGAGGTTGTTTTATACACATGAAAGGTGGGGGTAAAAAGTGCAGCTTATGAGAATATATAGGATAGACAACAGTTGAATCTGAATTTAATATATTAACATCTTCAAGATTGTAGTGAATAGGGAAGCATCCTCTTGGGGTTGTTCTACAAAGCAATGGCTCTTGGGAAGAAGCTGTCCAAATGAAACTTCCTCCTTACCAATGGAATACAAAAGGAACGATGATGGTTTGCCACTGTGTACATGGCATGGAAAATTTTTGGCTATAAAGGTCTTAACTGATAGAACTAAGGAATGTATCTCATTAGAACATTTTCCATGATAAATAACAAGAGGGTTGTAACATTTTATCAGTTGGGAAAAAAGTTGTAAGGTAGAAAATAATTTATCAAACAAGTTCAACTAAATATGAAAAGAGGAGCTGAATAGGTTGTTACTAACAAAAAAAAAAAAAAAAAAAAAAAAAAAAGGAAAAGGAGGTAAAAAAAGAAGACAAAAGTAAAAGAGGAAAAAAGAAAAAGTAAAAATACAATTTTAAAAATCTACCCATCAACTAATTATTGAGTTTTAAAAATTTATTTTCTTTTAGTAAAAGATGAAATTATTTTTTTAAAAAAAATTTCCTTTCTAAATCTTGGAGATAATAGTGCACAAAAAACAAATAGAAAATAAATGCTATGCAAAGAAAACAATGAGTGTTAGAAAGAGTAAGGATCTTTGGAAGAAGGAGGAGTGGAAGTTATGTCAGAAGTAATGAGAAGACATCATTCATGTGGATTCAACAACAGTGATTGGCACATGGCAGGTTTTTGTTTTTTAAACCTTTCTAGAATTTCCTTTAGTAAATATTTTCAATCCACAGATATGAAACTTGCAGATACAAATAGACTGTTAAAGGATGATCTACCCGACTCAGTGTTGCTTCCAAGATAAAAAAAAAAAAAAAAATGATCTCCTGACCTACTAAACGTCAAATAAATTAAACTTTTCATTCATACTAATTGAAATGTCCTATTAACTAAGATATGTTGTTTTGTTACCAAGTGAAGCCTTGTTTTTCTATTCTAAAAAAATTAAATAAAAAGATAAAAAAATTTACGGAAAAAGAAAAATTTTCAACTTGCATTCAAAATGTTTGTACATAATATAAATTTTATTATCTAGATTCAGTAATGCAAGTTCAAGAAAATGTTGATCTTCAAAAATCTAAATGCAATGTCAATCATTATCTACCATCTTCTTGATTACTCTTCTTTTATTGTTCTTGCTTCTTAATATTTCTCTTTTTTTTTCTTATTTCTTCACACTCAGTAACCCCCCCACCTTAGTGGCCTTATTGCCTTGCTTGGGGTGAAATGATTACCAAATCAAATTGATTCATGAGAACTTGACAGAAATTTTGGTTTAAAAGAATAAAATGTAAATCATGTGTGACAATTTATTCTCTATAAACCTTGATGAAAATTTATCCACTGAAAAGTGTATATATTTTTAATAGTCATCAGTTATTTTTAAAAATGTTCTGGCTCTAGATAAAAAATAGAAAAAATGTTTTCATCAATATAGTGCCCTTCATTATTTGGAAATATACTTACCATTTAAATCTTTGATGTAATCTTCCTTTGAGGGAGATTGCAATATATTTTGCAATTTCTCATTGTTAAGTATGTCTTCACCAAGCGTATCTAGAAAATATCAAATCCAGTAAATCACGAATTACTTCCCTTGATATTAAATATCGATAAATTCACAAATCAACCAACAGGTTTTTAAGTGCTAAGATTTGGTAATCAATTTTCACACAATAAAAAGATTCATATGCAATTTGCTTCCTCCCCACCGCACCATTTTCTCTTTCATGCATGGTTTGAGAAGCCATCAGTGGAGCGAAACTTGCCATATAGATAGGCAGATCAGTAAGTATGTTGCTTACACAACAAATCCTTATTTTGCAACATAATCTCTTTCTTTGTCAATGTACTTCACCCAATACTTCTCCATTAATCACAAACATTGTAACACTAGAGAAAATGTTTCACCTCCTGGATGAAAATGGATTCATAGATATCTGCATGTAAAATATTGGCCAAAAGAAGATGGCGGTTTTACATGTCACATATTTAAAAGAGATAGGTCTCAAGAGTCGGATAGATTTTTACAAGAATATCTTTTAACATATGTAAATTTGAACTGACACTCAATCTATAAAAAGTGCTTAAAGAGATGACAGATGAAAAACGTGACTGTGGTAGTGAACAGGAGACATGTGTTGTTGGATCGTTTGACTTACACTACTTGGTTGAAGGAAATGAATTAGGGAACTTTAAAAGAAAATGACAACAATTATACAATGAAAAATTCAGATCAAAATTCAACTAATAACCATGTCATACTATAGACTCATTAACCCACCCTCATATAAAGAGTCATTAACATTTGACAACTCATTTGAAATTTGTACTTGTGATGTTAACCATATTTATTTTTAGTCATCAAGTGTACCACCTGTAAAAGAAGAGAGAGGGCATCTCTCACTTTTTTTAAGAATATATATTCATATATAAATCAATATCATTGAGATTTAGACCAAAAAGATATCAACATACTATGTCTCATGTTTTTAAATGGAAAGCAATAACAAAATGTCAAAGCATCATATTTTTTGTATATAAAAAACATTTAAAAAAACTGACACTAAAATTCATTTGTCTTACAAACTGTGTCTTTGCAAGATTAAAGACACCTCTCTTATAAAAGTTAAATATGGACATCAGACTTCATTCTGGCCTATATTTCTTCAGCTATTACAAGAAATTAACTTCCAAATTTGGCTGTAATGAAACTAAATTATTGTAACAGGGGAACGATCCTGAAATCAACAGTTTATATCAGTAGGACTGTAAAAATGATGTGTGGGGTAAAATTTAAATAAACAGAAAATTAAAACATGGTTTGGCAAATTCAACTCTGGCTTCAGGAGGACACGAATGTTGGACCAGAGATTGGAAGAAAGAAATGAGAAGTTATACTGATAAAGTAAGGTTAATGTATTTTCAAATGCAGATATCAGTGCAAAATAACTTTCAGCCATAACAGGGTTGATGCGCTGATAGGTGGCATTTGAATATGTTATTTGATGAATGCTACAAGGTCTGTTTGAAAAGGGGTTTGTACAAATTTTGAAAACTGGTAAAGGTGAAATCAATTTGAAGATGAGGACAAAAGAGAAATCAGATGTCCCTTTTCTGTGACAATCATGTAAAATTTTCATAATTATCATGGTTTTGATCTCTGGAAAGTAATCCTTCACAAATAAGGAAGCCATCTAGTTAATTTATGGGAATATGGAGATTATTATCTATGAGCATTGTAAAATGTCCATTTCTAAAGCCTGGCTAGGTAAAATAAAGTCATTAATCATTTGGAGGAGAATTTCCCAATATAAACAAACATGCATTTCATTTTGCAGTCATTTTCTGTGAGGAGAGTAAATCAATAACACACCTGCATTTCAAACACACAGATACAATGAATACAGAGAACCCTCCAGCACCATTTCATAGAAGTTAAATTCTGCAAACATTTTTTTCTCTTCACATTAAACTCTGTTAAGTTTACAGAACATGTTTGGTTCATTTATCAAAGAACTTTTCTCTACTTCAAGCTAACCATCAACACATGACTATAACCAGCAACCAAAAGTGAAGGGTTACTATACTCTGCAGATCGATTTCATCAATTTTCTGCATGGACGTGACAACAGAATTTGGGTCCAATTACTGATAACCGTTGTCAGACAGGTGGAACTGGAAAAGGCTTAATCTCTGTTCAAATGAAGCTGGACAGAGAAATATACCAGCCATATTGGCAATTGTTTCCGGGCATGATGTAGTCGACAGATACTGATAAATTACCTACTCCATCCAGTTACATCCAGTGCAGCAAATAAACCAGTTATAATTGAGTGCCATGACAAAGAGCTGACACCATCCCCTGCAAACATTGCCACTAATGTCTTACCATTATATGGGAGGTATTTCTGCCACACTCTTGTGGAATCTTCTTCTGGTTTCTTGATCCTCATAATCCATATCCTTAAGTAAACCAATCCACCGATATTGTCAGCAACATGTCTCCTTTTTGCTACAGTTGTCACTGTTCTCTCTTTGCCTTATTATACACTTTTTATATCTTCATTGACAGCCCAAATTTACATATGTAAAAAGAGACTCTTGCAAGAGTTTATCCAACTCTGAGAGCTATCTATTGTAAATGTGTGACCAACAATTCAGGCATTTTTTCCTTTTGGGATAGTTTACATACAAGACACATCCCAACCCATTTTTAGCCTAGAGGTAAGCCCATTTTCCATAATGTTACATTGACTGATACAAAAATGCATACAACCCTGTGCCTCTTTGCCCTCTGTGGTAGTTCACTACAACACTGTATTAAATATTTTTTTTTGGTATTTGCCTGGTGAATCTATGCAGGATTAATGTACAGTAATGTTTACTTTCAGCCAAGTTAGAAATTGTCTTTTACATTAATGCATGAGAAAGATTTCTTAGATCAGATCATTTAGGTGCAGATTCCAGCTCCAAGAAAATGGCACCACGGCAACAAAGATTTATGTCTCTTAACCCCCTTATCTCCTACACTACTCCTCAAATATACAATTACATTGCTGACTGCCAAAATTATGAGAGTGTTATCGACACTCTAAAGAGAAAATACATGAAACCTAAGGTTTTGGTTTGGTTTGGTTTGTTTTAGGGCATATCAACCTCAAAAGGTTATTTAATGCTGACAATTTTTATTTCTGGTGATATTTTTTCAAAAAAATGTATAGCTGGCAATATTTTTTGTTTTAAAAAATGTATTGCTGGAAATAATTTTTTTTACAAAGTATTTCTGGTATTAAAACCTATTTACATTTTCATAGTGTTTTACCCTCAGTTTGGGAGTTAACTATTTGCCCATAGCTGGGACCTTAACAGGCGCTACCACCCCGGGTCAGGGTAGACCTGGGAATACCAGCAATTAAGAGGTAGTTCCACACTCCTTAAAATCTCCTGACAAGAGCCCTTGCTGTTGGACATAGTTTATCGTCTTACCCAGGACGGGAAATCTAAGAATGAAACTTTCTCAAAATATGCATTGACCACTTGACCAGTATGAGTGTTTTAAACATCTTACAAACGACAGCAAAATTTAAGGCTGTATCGGCTGTTGGAGCCTGTGACAACTACATTAGTAATGCCTTCATAAACGGCTTGTCTTTCTATACAATTCAATTGCATTTTTTTGGAGAATAAAACAGATTAATAATCAGTTTACAAACAGGGCACAGACACTAGAAATGGCCTCAAAACATTGCTTCAGGCTCAACATCTCCTCTGCTGCTCATTTTGAGTCTCAGAAGACGCAGGTAAATGACTTCTGTGCCTGCAAAAAAAAACCTGGTATTTATTCTACTAGCACAACTATGCCTTGATGTTGTTTATATAGTGTCCTGCCTGATATGCCATATGCAATAATTGTAAAAAGGGACACTATGCAAAAATGTGGAGCTCTCTTCAGGACAACCACAAAAAAGATTCACTAACCATTAACATCAAAGAATTTAAGAAAATGACATTCTCATGGCCCACTTGTTCTGAAGTAAAACTTCTGTTTTTCAAGCCTATCCCAAGAAAGTTAGTCAAAGCTACACAACCCTTTAGACTGAACTTGAATCCTAAGCAACTTCACTACCCCAGTCTCAGCACAATTACATTCTGATCCAAATTGGTGAATTTTGGAGATTTCTTTTTACCTTCCTATGTCCTGATCTTTCTACCATGATCTTTTCATCAAAAGTTTAATCGATTGGAAATGACAGCTGATATATAATCAGAGTTCCTTCCTTCATATCTGAAGAATTTAAAGATTTCTTGTTTAAAAGTGGAGAGGGCAACTAGTCACACAACTCCTTACAATCTCCAAGATAGAATGATATGATGGCATAATTTGGAAAACCCTGCCTTTAGCAATAAAAAAAAAAAAAAACAATGGAAGAACAGATCAGATACAGTTTCATTAAGGCATTCCATGCCTAAATCAAATGGCAGAAGGCCTTGCAGAAATCACCATAACCTCTTCAATTTCATCCTTACCCAATGAACTCTGAGAATTGGTTATAGGTATTTTCGCAATTTCCAGGGTTGTGCGATCCACTGTTTCAGGGATCCTAGAATTTAGATTTTCCATTTGATCTTTACCCAATGAATGCCGAGATAAGCTAAATTCCAACATCCCTAAAACAGTGGATCACATAATCCTGGTTCCACCTGACCAAGATAGAGGATCTGGTTAACAGTGGTTTGAGATTCCACCAAGGTTACTGGAGAATCTTTGTGACTTAGTTCAAGGAGTCAATATCTACTCACTTCCCTTCAAGATTGAACCACCTGATTCCAATGTGTTGGGAGAGTGAATAAAATAAACTTGTACCATAAAGGTAGAAGAGACTATCTCATCCATTTTCCTAATTTAAACTCTTCCCTATTCATTTAAAAAAAATATTTATTTCTGTTTCTTTTTGTATTTGCCTGGTAATTCAATGACAGATTAATGTATAGTAAAGTCTACTTTCAATCAAGTCAGGATTTGATTTTCTTTCACCAGTTGTTCAACAACAATCAAGTGATATTTGTTCTGCATTTTTTTTTTGTTTTTAAACTTACCTTGACAATCATGAAAATTTTCATCAGATGACAATCTGAAAAGAAATATTTTGAGAATTTAAAATAAATACAGATCTATTTGAAAATATGATTAAGATAAAAACATTTTCCAAGAAAATAGGATATAAAACATGAAAGCTTGGAATAAATGAGGATATTCAAAAATGAAATCCAATCTTCAAAATATTCAGTCAAGAAATCTGAACAAACAATGAGAATTTACATCATACATTGAACCTATCAAATCAGAAAGAAAACATCTAAATTCACCGTTTTGTAAAAAGATCTCACACTTTTCATAACTCTCTCATTTTTTTTAACATTGTAAACAAACAAGCAAATAAAATTAAGATAGCAAGAATGCAATCTGTTTTTTTTTTTATCATTTCACTCATGAGACAATGAATGAAAGAATCTGAGAAAAATCATTACTAAGAAGAGAAGACAATAAAAGAAGAGATGGCAACAATTGAAGATCATTACAAAACAAGTTGGAAGAGAGTTCCACAAGTGAGAAGTACAAGAGAAGAAACAGCATAAAACTCATGGTGGTTACATCTAGCAATTTCAACAGCAAAATAATGAAACCTAACTGCCAATCTAGTAGCGTGCTTAAATTCGTAAAGTCGAGATACCAAAGAGGAAAGCTCAGCAAAACAATTACCATGGAAATATTTATAGAAAAAGCACAGGGAAGCTATGTTATGACAGTGGGAAAGTGACTGAAGCCAACATTCTAGTAAAACATATATATATGGATTTTAAGCAGATTGAATTTTATATGTATATAAGGAAAAGATTAAAGCTGTTCCAATGAGAGAAACTTGTATATTTTAAAGAGAAAAGAGAAGCCACAAATGTTTTTGGTTATGTGGATCTTTTTTATTTATTTTTTTAAAATATATATTTTCCATATTTTTTGCTACACAAGTTTCAGGTTTTGTGACTGTCATCAGGTGAACAATAGTTATTTCCAAATATTATTTGAAGGAATTAATTTTTTTCTTTGTTTTCTATGTTTAACCATTGTCTTTTGTGTGTGGTAGTAATCCAAATTCTTCTTGGATTGGTAGAGATGATGTTCCTCTGCTTAAAGAGTAATAAAACATTTATTTATTTATTAAATAAATTTGTGTGTGTGTGTGTGCGCGCAAGTGTGTGCCTTTTTGTTAATATGTGTATTTAGAAAAATATGATGAATTGGAAAACTTTTAGTGATGCATTCAATCCATTAGGATTTAATCAAACTGGGCTTTGTTGATGTTGCCTATACATGCACACAAATAAATAATATGTGGAAATAAGCATTCTTTGCCTGATGACAGTCACAAGACTTGAAACTAGTGTATCAAAAAATATAGAAAATAAAGTAGATATTTTCAAAAATTAAATAAATAAATCCACATTATAACCAAAAACATCTGTGGCTTCCATTTCCTCTAAAATATATATATATATATATATATATATATATATATACACACACATACACACAGAGAGAGAGTGCGATGGATAAATTGTCATCTAAATTACACACAAATGAAAATACTGACAAATGATATATTTACCAAAATTACACAAAAATATCTTTAATACTAAACAGTAAATTTATTTAATAACATTGGCTTCAACCACAACCTCCAGACGACTTTGGAATCTTCTGCAACTCTTCTGGATGACCTCCTTGTTTAACTATTTACATTATTTGGACTATCATCTTTGTTGCCATATTTATCACAACATTTCAGCCATTGTATGCTCTGGCCTTCTTCAGGTGGTTGGAATGTTGAACTGAACCCTTTATTTCACTTGCTGTGGTAGACTGTTCTAGTTCCACGTGCCATGTCTAATGGATGTCAATTATCATTTGTCTCAAAGTTCTCCACTGCCTTAACCAGGTATTGAACTCACACTCTTTAGGTCCTGTCACTGGATCTAACTAATGCCTTTATCCACTGTGCTATGCATCTGTGTATGAATTTCTGGGTATTATAAACCTAATGTCTTCAGCAACCATTTTTTACCAGTGCTCATATTCTGATTAATGTAAATAGTTTACATAACACCTCATCTCAGAAATATAGACAGATACTCCTTGTTTAATTTGGTGAATGCTACCATAATCCATGACTTCAGTTAATCTTTGGTGTTACAAAGAGTTTTGTTGGTCTCTCTCACAACTGTGCCCCAAATATAATAATTAAGGGGGTTGCAGTCTTGGGAGATATGTGACTAGATGTAAGTGGTGATGCGGTCACAGAAATTGTCTTACAGCCATGACCATGTTCTCCTGCTTGTGTAGCATGGTGCAGAGTCCTGTTGCTAGACATAGGGACTTCCAGCAGCCACCCTCTTGATCCAGGGCAGCACTACCTCAAGGCACTTAATGTAGCCCTCAGTGTTGAGTCTGAGACCCTCACCAACAAATTCAGGAAGTTCTTATCAGAACAATCAGAGTGAGTTTTCTGAGCTACCATAGCTTCATAATCACCATAAGACACATCCAATTTTTTCTGAATCTTCTGCATTGTCTTTATATTGACACTTAAACACCCTGAAATATTCGTATTGGCGCTTCCGGCACAAATGCCAAGCAGTACAGCATGACATTTCCAAATTTCTGGCAGAGTGAATTGTGTCATATTGGTCTTTTTCTCAGATGGTGTCCAATTGACCCTACTATACTGTGCAGTTGACAAAAACAACACACATGCACAAAATGAAAAATATAAAATGGTAGCTATTTACCCATTGCATGCTGTATATATATCAACCACAATTTTGATTAAAAAAAAAAAAAAAAAAAAAAAATGCCCCTCTCATCTAAATAGAAAATATTTTACTCAGGAGGAAAATTCGACAGTGCCGCTATCAATTCTTATCAAAATATAAATCTACGCCCCAGTTTCTTTCCAATCTCATCTTCCTGAAAGAATTACTACTTACCCAAGCCAACATCCATGATTATAAAAATATTGGCATATCAAAAGAAAACTGTTAATCTATCATCTCATTTTTTTTTGAAGGTGTACTGCACATCCATCCATCCCATAATAATTTTATCACAATTTAAACAATATTCATTCAAAAAAAAAAAAAAAAAAAAATATATATAAATATATTTCTTGAATATTACTCGCTTTTTTACCAGAATTTGAATTAGGATACTTTATGCCCTCCACATGTTTTAACTGACCTTTCAACCACCTGATAAATATTCATGAACGTTTTCAAATTTAAACACTTTGTTAAACCAATGACATCATTGTTTTTGTATATAAACACATGCAGCAAAATAAATTCCCACAGAGGATGAAATGTGTTGGCTAAGAATAATTTTTCCTTTTGTCTTTTTATTTTTGTATGTGTGTATGTGTTATAGATAAATATAGATAATACATTTAAGCAGCAATTCTTCAAGCTTCTGCCTGAAAAAAAAACAAAAAACAAAAAAAAAACAAGAGAAACCATCAAAAAGCTGATAGCACTTTTTTTTTATTTTTATTTTTTTTAATTTAGAACAATTTCTTGGTTAGTTTTATAAGTTGGCAACTCTTATTAGGTTATTTAATGCCAAATTTTGTTTGAGCCACCCAGTAAGGATAAAATTCTGAACTTTGTAGTAATGGCCTCTCTAATCTGTTGCCGAGAAATTTATTCTTCATGAATGGAAGATCCAATTCCAGCCATCAATCAATCGAGTTAAGCATTTCCTAACCATTGGAAACCATTATAAACAACTTCCTCAGCCACTTTCAATCTCTAACCTATTTCCTTACCCATTCATTTGACGTTTATACTGTACAACTGACTGGCAGCCTAATTTGAAATATTGTAGAGAAAAGGAAAAGATAGCAAGAGAAACATAACAAATTTAGAATAATTGCCTTCATTAAATCAGTTTGATCAGCGCCTTGAAAGCTGTCCAGGAAAGCATTGATTGAGAAGTATATGCTATCATATATCTACAAACAATACAATACAGCAAATCTCACTTGTGCTAGAAGTATTTTTAAATATCAATATTAGTAATCAATACAATGTACTAACTGGGTTTCAGTATAAAGCAAAAAGGGATTAGGCTCCTTAGACTTATCTGAATTAAAGTCAGAGTAAATTTATTAGTTAAGAATTCATTTTGCCAATCCAAATTTTATATATATATATATATATATATATGTGTGTGTGTGTGTGAAAATTTTCAGATAGAGTATATCTGTGAAAGGACAATATGAATAAAGACAAAAGGAAAATTTATCTTAGGATGAAACACGTTGACTAAGATAAGTTTTCCTTTTAACATCTGTCTATATATGAGATGAGATACTGTAACTAATTATACTATTTACATTGTTCAAACAGCTGACCTCGTCTTTATTGTCATATTCAAAATGTTTCAGACAATGTACACATGGCCCAGGGGGTAAAGACGTTGGTTGAAGTAATCCAGTGATTTGACCAAAAGAGTTGTGAGTTCAATACCTGACCACAGCAAAAGTGAATATAACTTGGATAATTGAGTTACTAAAGAGAATTAACTGAAACAGAGAACAAAAGTGCATGGCATGTAGAACTAAAACAATCTACCCCAGTGGACAAAAAGTGTTCAGTTTGAAATTCCAACATATATCACCTGAAGAAGGCCAGAGTATACAACGGCTAAAACATTGTGAATAAAGATGAGAATAACAGTCCAAACAATGTAAATTGTATAAAAGATTTTCCTTTGGTCTTTATTCACACACACTATATATATATATATATATATATATATATATATATATATACATACACGTGTGTGTTTCTCAAATTTTTCATCTTCAACTCTGTTATATGATCACATGCTCAAATTTTAGGTGTTTATATTTAAAAAAAGGATATTCTAATTGATTAGTTTTCTCTCTTACAATCATCATCTTCATGAAAATGAGAAAAATCAAAACCACAACAGAATATTTCTCTACCAAATAAAATTGCTTCCAAATCAAAACTACTCCAAAGAATATTCAAGACAATGCTTTCAAACTGACTCTCTCTACATCAAACTTTGTTGGTGTCAATCCTTATTGGGAATGACTGCAAAACATTTTCACCTCCCAAAATTTATAGGCAGAAGCACACAAATGCATGCTGGGATTTCTTCCTAGCCAATAAAACAGGCAAGTTCTCAGTTTCATTTAACTCATTCCCAGTCTCCCTTGTCTCGAAATCAGAATGCTATGATCGTTTATCTGAATTCGCTCTTGTGTGTCAACACCAATTCTTAGTTTGTTAACTTTTTGTCATATTATGGTTGCTTTGCCTTATTACTATTAATTTGCCTTTCATATATTGTTTGCTTGCTTTATATTTTTTTTTTGCCTTGTTTTCTTCTCTTTTCCCTGTCATTGTTTATTGCAAACTTTGTCAATTCCATTTGTTGGGCAATTCTGCCATTTATTTACAATAACCATGGCTATTCACTCTGCTATGTTAATTCTCTTGATACCAGCTCAATTCTTCATTAGCTTTCAGTTTTTCTAATGACATAGAAACCAATTTTTTTCTGTCTTCAACACTCAAATAATAAATAAACGTCAAAACAATAACCTCAATTTTTGGCCAAATTATCTTTCAAAAAATCTGCTTCAATTTTAAACCATCTAACTCATATATAATTATCCTAACTAGAATGCTGCCAGTCATATGACAAAAATTTTAATGCTGGGAAGATTCTAAAGTGTATTTCTACAGTGAGTAATGTCAGATTTTGACATTTTTGATCTTCCATATTTCAGTTATCTCATTAGTTAATTTAAAAAGGCATTTATCGTGTATGGGAAACAAAAACTGAAAACATAGTATGACATGTTTTGTGCACAAAAAAGCAATGGACACTAGCTTTTATATGGATAGCAGCTAATACTTCTTTTTTAATAAAATAATTTATCAGATATTTTTTTTCTTGGACCATTATCTTCATCAAATGCAGCTCATTTTTCAAAAACTAAATTTCAAAGAAAAAATACGAACTTAAGTAGTTTCAATATGTTCAAGGGTTTAACACATAAACTAAGTTTTCATCTTACTTTGTAAAACGAATTCACATCTAATGGGATCAGACTTTTCATTTAACAACACAATGTATATTTCCCTAATTTTTAACTTTTGGAAATTTCTAACTTCTCCAGGACATTGTTGATCATGGCTCTCCACAATTTCCTGTCCTTTATAGTTCTTAATAAATTTTGTCTTAATTATTTCTCATAAACCCTGTTCTGCCATCAATTTACACAAGTTTACAATGTAGTTTGTGTGTTGTTTTCCCCTGAACCTCTTGCTTTCAATTTGTCCTGTGAGTATCAAATTTTCCAAGCCCTCTTTCCTCATTATGTGTCCTAGAAATTTCAATTGTCTCTTCCTGATGTTAAATATAAGTGTTCTTTTGCTTCGATTTTTCTCTAAAACTTTGTGGATGCTCTTATGTTTGGTTCATGGTATACAAATTTTATAAATTATTATATATTTATTATTTATAAATTATTTCTTTGTGCAGAAAATGTTTTATCTTTGAGAAGAAGCAGTAATGAGTAAAAGATAGTAAAACTGGATTCAGAAAGTAATAAGCATGAGAAATTATCTATTTTAAGTCATATTAGGTGTGGATGCAAAAGTAACCTTTTTTGAAAATTACAGAATATTATTTTAAGAATGAATACTGAAAACTGTTGTACACACCTAATAATTACCATTACATTGCAATAAAAAAAAATAACTTTTCAAATAAAGACACATTGAATGTTTTGCTTCTGGGATTTAAATAAAACTTCTTTTTTGTTCTTAATCAAGGATATTGGCAATAAGGGATCTAAAATGAATTAAATCTAAAATGAAATATTGTTAATTGCTGTTGTTAATATATTTGACACAGACAAGAATAAAAAAAAAATAAAAAAATCATTTCCTTAATTATATTTAGCTTTTTGAGCTAAATTTACAAAATATTTACCTAAAGAATAAAATTTAATTTATTCCAATGATGTGTCTTATTGATTTCAGTTTTAAAAGGTAAAATCTAATTTCTTTTTAGCAGATTAAAATTCTAAAATGTGAACTTTTTATACACGTTGGTTGATTTTGTTTAGTGGCATATCAACCTTTATGGCTTATTTAATGCTGAAATCTAAATAATCTGTACATAATTTTATACTTTTAGATAAAGGCATGTTTTATAGATATAGTTTGTAGATCATAAATGTGTTGGTGATTTTACTATACAAATGTTTTTTTATGTTTTTAGTGTTGCATTGATTGTCATTTTGCTATAAAAATGTACTGTTGATTTTTTGTTTGGAAGTTCATATACTTGCTCACAGCTGGGACCCTAACACATGCTGCCACTCCAAGTCAGAGTGGATCTGAGAACAACAGCAGTTAAGAGGTGGTTCCATGCTCCTCCAAACCTCCAAAATCCTGATGAGAGACCTTGCTGCCAGATGTAGTTTATCATCATACCCAGGACAATTTTATACAGAGATTATCATTTCTCAAATATCATCTCTTCATTTAATAAGGAAATGATTTGGTGTTAATATTTATGCTGGATACAAACTTGCTGATCACCTTTTCCTCAGACAAATCACTGTTATTCTAAGTTTCATCTAACAGCTGCATCACATAAGTATATTTGATAAGCATTTGATAAGTTGGACGTGCAGGTAGCATAATGGCTATAGGCACAGAAAGTGGAATCATCAGGGCGTGTTCATATTCTGACCAAGTCAGTTGCATTCACTTTTAAACAAATACTCTTGTAAAAGTCATGAAAAAGCATCTTACTTTAAAGGTTAAATAGCAGGACAGAATAGATTGTCGTGTCTTGGTTGGCGGTCAGTCTCGGTGAATGAAAACTGAAGCCTTCATAAATAATACGACAGACTGGACTCTTTATTCTTGATACAGGTACCAGTCTAGGAGAAAGACAATTCTAAATTATTGCACCAGAGACACACCCTCTATTGCACCAACAACTCTAAGAGGTTAAGGCTTTGTGACTGTGTTAAAACTCAATAATAAAGATTATAAATTTGGGGAAAATATACAGATGAACTAAAAAGCTAACTGTATATATGCTGAAATCATATACAGAGTGAATAGCTGGGCAGACTAGCCTCAACTGTCTTGAATGGCAGCCAGTCTAAGAAAAGGAATACCATCCTGAAGAGGGATGGGCTCCGTCAGGTTACTTGCCTAAGACAACCCACTATTGGATGCCCCAACAACCCTAATGAGTTACAGGCTTGTGATTATGATAAAAACAATAATAAAAGCAAGTTTGGTAAAAAAAAAAAAAAAAACAGAGCAACTAGAAAACCAACTACAACATTTCTCTTTACAAAAGATTAACTCTCTCTATCTCATATATATATATATATATTATATATATATATATATATGATGAGAATGTAATGGTTAGATAAATATACATATGATAATGTAATGGTTATGAGTATGAAACACAAGATCAAAGTTTGAGATTTGTCCAAGGCTGCTGACATACATTTTACACTATGCCCTTGGAGAAGGAAGGAAGGAAATAACTTTGCTCTTGTCATCTATGGATAAATAACAAATTAGTTGGCGTTCTTTATCTCTGTAAGGCACTCCAGCTAGAAGATTACTATGACAATAAAAAAAAGAAACAGTTGACAGCTCTCAACTGAGAAATAGAAAAACCTGGACATCAGATCAGCACCTCATCCACTTAAAATTTTACAGTTGCTACAGAAATAAATCTCCAAGGAACAAATTCTATATTCAAAATGGAGACACACATTGGACAATAAGCTATGTCACATTGGAGGACCTACACTCTGATGATCTTTTTTTTAAAAAAAAAAAAAAAAAAAAAAAAAAAAAAAAAGCTGCCCAAGTAATTTTACTGCAGGCTGTTGATATTATTCCTCATCATCACTACGACAACTTTGAAACAATTAATTAATGTGAAACCTTTATGATGATCACTTACTGAGGGGAAATGCCACTTCCTCCATCCACTTGATGGTTGTCATTCTCTTCCTGAGGAGGAGTACTGCTTGTTGAAGAACCATTTAATTTCAACTGTTGTTTCAAACTCAAGAGTTGTTTTTCATATCGATCCTGGCAACCTGAAAAACATTGAAAAAAAAAAAGACAGGCAAGCCAATATAAAAATAACACTAATCATTTTCAATTTTTCTTCTATCATTTTTCTTTCCAATAGATGACACAAATTTGAATCTTTATATGAACATGTTTTCATGTAATATAAACTGAAAACCTTAAGACAAACACTGAAAATTCAATATGAAGGAAATATATAACAGGCAATAAAATTTTCAAAATATTTATTTATGGTAATGGTGAAATTAGCTGTTCCTCTTATAGAAAATATTCGGCATTCACTGAATAAACATTTAAATTTATAAAATCTTTCAAGAAAACAGGCTTCTCAATTCCATTCTTATTGGTCTTTCTACTAATAATGTAGCTTCCTTCCTAAACTTTTTTTAAGTGAGAAAAGCCAATATCTTGATTACATTGTAAGTGAGTCCCGATAAAAAAAAAAAAACAAATAAAATAAAGTATGAAAATATAATATAAGGCATTTGTGCTTTCCTTTAAAACCCTTATTTTTCTCTTTCTGAACTTATTTTGATATCTCTCTCTCTCACCTAACAAGAAGGCAACCTTCAAATAAGAAGGAAAGATTGAACCCGGCCCAAAACACCGGAGGTTTGCAGGAGTACAGCCTATTTATTTGTAACTAAAAAATACAAAAAAAAACAGGAAGGCTACACACATAACTTACATTAAAAAAAAAAAAAAAAAATGAATGGATAAGAAAGGAATGCTAGAAAATAAAATAATTTGGCCAATCAAAAAAAATTGACACAAAGAGACTTTTGATGTTAGTCCAAACCAATGTTCACACCAAATTCTTGATCAAAAGGATATAAACCTGACACCTCTGGGCTAGTGGCAGATAGAACAAGGGGAGGATGGAACAAAAGAATGCTACCGCATAGAAAACAGCTATGCATGAAGAAGCAATTAAGAGGTCATTTGCTAATGATATATCCACCCTGCTCAGGACTGAGAAAAAACAGTAGATTGACATTGACCTAATTTCTGAGATTACTACTATCCGTAACATAATCCAACTTCAAACTACTGAAATGGACATTTCTCCAGACTGCTACCAGTATCTGCCTTATTAACAAACTTTTTGCTATGCTGAATACCAAAGGACTCCCTCATCACTCTAAAGCAAATGAATAAAAAATATATTATTTATTTATAACCCTTGAGTCAGTTTGTTTTATTCCCAAAGTTTTCAATATAATAATTATCCTACAACCTAACCACACTGGCAACCTTCTGATGTGAACACACTTGCCACAATATTATTATTTTCCATTCTAATTATATGTGCTATCTATTTTTAGTTGTTGCAAGTCTTCAAGTGATGTGGGTATAATCATTTTGTAAAGTTTGTGATTCTGTAACACCAGTCTATGAAGTCTGATGAAGGATTGTCATCCTTAAGACCAACAGGGTTCCTTCAATTGAAGCTATTTTTAATCAGTGATCTCACAAAACAGTTGTATATATATTAGACATTTCTTAACAAGTTGGATGTCATGCACAGCATCCATGACAGACTAGATCTGATGCAGCTATTTAAGAATATGACTAAAGATCTTATGTTAATGTTTTGGTTTTGTAACATCTTACAGTATTGGACTATCCTTAGTGAAGCCATTCCAAGGTTAAATTTCCTTATCTCTCATACTAAATTTGTTACAACTCATCCATAAAATAAGGTATTAAAGTGCATAGAATTTATTAAACTCCACATTTCCAATTTCAGATTACAGTTTTGTTTTGGAAAGGCTTATCTGGAGTCATGAATCACTTGGGAGAGGAGGTTGATTTTTTGTTCAAGTTCATTCCTAACTATGAATGCCTATGTCCTCAGCATAGGATCTCTCAACTAGCCTCTGGAGGGAAAACAGAAATTCTACTTTCTACTTACAGATTCATTTGGGATGTGATAGAGAATATTTAAATGATTAGTGTCCATCTCTTCACATCTGTGCTTGTACACACACAGAGCATATCTATACAAATACCAAGACTGGTATTATATCTTGAAAATAGGCACTCTTATTTATTTTATAAAAATAGCATAGAACCTCATTACTTTGCTATGTATCAGTACTAAGGTCTTAAAACTTATTAATCTTTAGGTCACTGGAGGTGAAAATTGTTGTTAATAAGCTGACATGTAATGATGCAATATTCAAAAAACTATGAAGTAACAAACACTTGTCAACTGTTATTTCCGGAAACAACAGTAGACAAGTGTTTATTTTTAGCAGCACTCTCAAGGCAACAGAATGCGCCTACAGAGTACAAAGGGAGAGAATTCTATGGCAACAATTTTCACCTCCAGCATGCAAAAGGTTAAACAGATCTTTTTTTATTTACCAAATAAGGCTTAAGATCCATTTCAAAGCTTGAAATTCACAATTATCCATTTGAGATCTCAAAATCCAGGACATTTAAATATTTGTTTACATCTACACAGAATGAAGCAACATCCAAACTGCCATCATTCAGCAAGTAAAACTTTAGATTCCAATAAAGCTCTAGCCACTTAATTTTGTTATTGTACTTTTCCAATTTTCAAATAAGATGTGGTACTTAACAAAACAAAAATTTGGACAGTTTATCAACAATTTTAATTGCAATGCACAACATCTTATTCAAAAATTGGAAAAATAAAATACAAAATTAAAGACGGACCTTGCTTGGCAATAGAGAGACAGAAAGACAGATACAAAGAAATTAACATTGCATAGTCACTTTCATGCCACATCAGACCAAGTGTTGCTACTCTTATTGCAGGCTGTATAAAAGATCACTGGGGTATTAAAGAAGTTAAAGGAAAGAAACTGGGTCATCCTACTTTTTTTGTTTACAGTTAATGCTTTACATTATTTATGATCCTGAACTTTAGTTTGCTTATTTTATTTATTATTTTAAAGTCATTTCTATATACGTCTTTTTTGGGTTTTTTTTATTTATTTGCTTTGCATATCTTTTCTCCATTTTACATTATTTGGACTATTGTCCTCATCTTTGTCGCCATATTTATTATGTTTCGGCCATTGTACAGTCTGGCCTTCATCAGGTGGTTGGAATGTCGAACTGAACCCTTTATTTCGCTTGCTGGGATAGAGTGTTCCAGTTCCACGTGCCATGTTTAATGGATGTCAGTTATCCGTTATCTCCTGTTAATTCCCCTCTCCAAGTTCTCCACTGCCTTAACTGGGTATTGAACTCACACTCTTTGGGCCCTGTGTACTGGATCTAACTAACACCTTTATCCACTATGCCATGGCAACAAAGATGAAGACAATAGTCCGAATAATGTAAATAGTGTACATAATATCTCATCTCAGAAATATAAACAGATCTTTTCTCCAGTTAAAAATTTTGGTGGGTGTGTAGTAAAGTTTATTAGATTTATGTCAAGATAGGATTTTATTTAGTCTTCTTGAATCATGGTGTACTTGTAGGTAGAGTAGTAGGAATTTGTTTTCATGTCTGCATTTTGAAATGATCTCTGATATTTTAATTGCATTTTTTCTAGAAAGCCAATTATTACTATTTTCTCTTCCAAACAAAGGGTTACATTGCTTTGGGGTATCATAAGCTAGTGCTATTTTTCTTATTTTTTATGTGTTTTGGTTTGTGCCTTTGAGTATATATAATTTGATAGGGTTGTTCTATTTGAATATTTTTGCTATTGTTAAATGATCACTTGAGGTGTGAAACTGACAGTCACTATGCAGTGTTAATTCCCATATCTATGATTTTTACCT